GAAACTATTGGTGAAGACAAAGAGATATGGTAACAAGAAAGTGTTTAGAATGGTCTTGGAGCTACAAATTTGTGTCTCTTTTGTTGCCTCGGTTGTTTGTCTTGTGGGTTTGTTTGCGAGTGGCGAGTATGAGGAACTGAAAGGCGATAGCAAGAGGTTTAAGAAAGGGGAAACATATTACGTTCTTAGTTTGGTTCGGTTGGCTTTGTCGTGGCAGGTTTGGTCGGTCGGGCTGATAGGTTTGGTGCTCTATGTTTCCGGTGTGTTTGGTGATGTTGTTCATATGTGTACTTCACCACTTGTGGCTTTGTTTGTTGTCTTGGCGTTTGATTTTATGGATGATGAGTTTAGTTGGCCAAGGATTGGTACTTTGATAGCAACAGTTTTGGCTTTAGGATCTTACTTCTATACGCTGCACAAGAGAAACAAGAAGAAGATGGTGGAACTTTACCAAAGAGAGAACTATAATATTGAAGTTTAGTCTATTATTATGTCAAATGTATGTTGTGTCTCAGAATCTGTTCTTCTTGTAAATGTCCAGAATATGTTGTATAGATCTGAAAACTGTATAATTTATTTGTTAATCTGTTCTTTTTTTTTTTTAGGAATTCTATTTTACAGTACTTTGTTAATGAGAGTTCGTTAGCAATAGCATCTAAGAGTCTTCATGCTAAACCAAACTCTTATGCCTTTTACCTCATAGCTTTCTAATATAGATTGCACTGTTTGCTTCTGTCCCAAGCAACTCAAAGTCTATGAACCCTTTAGAAGCTTGGTCAACATTTTCTTACTATGTCTTCCTGAAACCAATATTGTGATGGCAAATTTAAAACTCTGTTAGCTGATTACATACACTGCTTGCATGTAAACAGTTTCTCTCGAGCCAGGTGAAGTCCAAATACATACTAATATCATTTTTTTGCTAAAGGGTTTACAAATGCTAATATCATCAGTACATACTTATACAAAATTTACGAATTTTAAGATCACATTATGCAGGCATTCAACCGTCGATGACCCTCTACCATTGGGACCATCCTTAAGCACTCGAGGATGAGTATGGTGGGTTTTTAAGCTCTCAAATAGTGTAGTTTAAGCAAACTAAGCAAAATTATTCTAAGACATTAACAATTGAATATTTTTATTGTTATTATACCATTAAGATAGACATAATGCAAATCTCTTACAAAAAAAAAAAAGACATAATGCAAATCAATATTAACTATTACTTTTAATTCTTTAAACAGAAAAGATTTCCGATATTTTTCAAATGTGTGTTTTGAAGAATTTGGAAACAAATTAAATAAAGACGTAGTGTTAATAGAATCGAGAGTTTGTTACAGAGGATTAGAAACAAACTCATCTTATTCATCTTATAATGAGAACGATTACAATTAGTTTCCTTATATATGTATAAGACTCCGGTTTACATTTCAATTAAACCGAGATGTGAATACATTGGTTTGACTTAACTAATGATCACTCTAATACGTAGACTACTAAAAACGAGCCTTTTTGCACCAAAAAAAAAAAAAAAAAAAAAACGAGCCTTATGTCATAATTGTTGTGCACTACGAAACATGCAACAACGCGGTCGGACTATGCTCAAAATGGGTGAATAGTAAGTAACTAAGTACTGTCAAGCCAGAGATTCGGCTATCGAGCCTTACATATTCAATTGTTTTTTTACTATTATAAGAGCAGAGAATTTGTACTAAAAGTCTAAAACTATTTGTTCATTTTTTTTCTTATTATAAGAGCAAAGCAAGAAATTGAATTATGATTTATGCATATCTCATTACTTGTTCTTATTTCCATTCAATTATTGTCATCCTACATTGGCGATATTAATTACTGTAATACTAGAGGAATTTTGTTGACCCGTTTTTAAAACTGTTGAAACTATTGCTAACTTTGATTTAAATGTCCAATTCAGAGTTGGCCCTGGAAACTTATGGGTTCCGCCGTTGTTATATCATAGCTACCAAGTTAATGTGGTCTAAATTTAGTTTGGGGAAAGAAAAAAATTTAACGGTGAAGGAGACGTCTTGACTTCAGTATACGTGGACTCTTCTATAATCAATACTACAAAACGTGTATCTCACTGGATTAGAGTTAGATATTTAAGCACATTTCCCTCAAATTATCACAAAACTAAAATTAGAGTCGTCCCCCATGACGATTTCGTCTCTCACCGATGACACCCATCGAGTATTCCTCAGTTTCCGAGGAGATCAGTTGCGCTATAGCTTCGTCAGCCACCTTCTTGATGCCTTTAAGAGACATGGAATCTTGTGTTTCGTACACAAAGACGAGCACTACAGGAATTAAGGCTTTTAATAGCACAACATTATAGCGTTTTTTATTTTTATGCTATAATTGAGTATAGAAAAACTATAGATAGCGTTTCCCAAAAGGTAAACGCTATGGTAAGTTGAGCGCGAAAAATTATTTCAGAGTGGCACTTAGTCTTGGTTCTATTATAGCATAGGTAAACTTAAAACGTTATTGTAGGTTAACCCGGGAACAAAATTTTTCACTGGCTCCAAAATGGGAACAGAAAAAAAAAAAAAGAAAAAAAAAAAAAGAAAAAAAAAAAGAAAATGAGTTAAAAAATTAGTGTTTTCTTCTTCTCGATCTCGTCTCTCTCATCTCTGAAAGTCAAAATCTGAAACACCATAGATCCCAATTAGCTTGATTCTTCCACTATCGATCCCGCTCAGTCTATTCCCTCTCATATCGATCGCCTAATTTGATACATAAGGTAAAAAATATGTATGGGTTTTCGTTTTTGTAAACGATTTAGTTTTTATTTCGTGTTGGGTTTGCTCTGTTTCAGTTGTTTCTGAAGTAATTGGGTTTTGGATTGATGTTTGTATGATTGGAATCGATTTTTTTTTTATGTGAGTTTGGTGTTCGACTTTCAATCTGTGTTTTAATTTGCCTAATTTTTGTCTGCGTTTAGATCTGTCTGAAGCTAATTTGGTTTCCTAGCTTTTGTGAGTATAATCTTTTGTATGGAATTGACTCAGTTTTGTCTGATTGTTGTTGAGAATCGGGTTTATATAAGTTCTTATTTACTGTCTTGTTTGTGTGATGCATAGATTCATAAAAGTTTATACATGTAAAGAACATAAAAATCAATTATTGTGTCTCTAGTTTTATAAGCTTAATTCGATTTTTTTTTGCTGCTCTCTGGTCATTACCAGTTGTTGATGATATTTTGTTGACTTGTAATTGTGAATTGTAGTTGGATTTGCGGATCTGTAGTTGCGGCTCTGTAGCTGTTCAGTACAAGAACTACAAGGTATTTATAGCTTTGTAGCTGTTCCAGTAAAGATGAGTTGTGTTGTTGTAATGATTCTGATAATCCATGTCGTTTTTTTGTTTGCAGATTCTTGATTCATAATCTTCAAACTTCTTGTCCGTGCCTACCTTGTTCTTTGACTTGTGTAAGATATTATTTCTTTACCTGTTTGTTATACACTTTGTGTCTGATGTGAGTGTCTGATCATTAAAGTTATTATGATAATGTATGTATAAATTGGTGGTGGAGATTGGGTCGTATTGGTCTAATATGGACAAGACATGGGCTTGGCTTCCAAGGTATGCATCTCTCAGTTATTATCATAGGTTGTTTCATTTATAGTGATTCTGAACTTTGATTTTTTTCTTAAATTATTATATTAGGAATAGCCTTGAGTATGAGACTGGAGCAAAGAATTTTGTGTATGGAGCATCAAGTATTATGGGTAATCCTGCAGAGATTCTCTGTCCATGTGTCGATTGTCGGAATGTTTGCCATCAGCTACTAGATACTGTAGTGGATCATCTTGTGATGAGAGGTATGGATTTGAAGTACAGGAGGAATCCATGTTGGTTTAATCATGGGGACAGGAGAGAGAGAACATCTGCAGATGTTCTAACTTCAGAGGAAGAGGCTTATGACTTGATAAGGACAGCATATTTTGAGTCTGAAGTTGGTGATGAACATCCATCTGAGGCGTATACTACAGAAGAAGCAGAGTTTAGGGAAAAGTTAGAGGATGCTGAAACTGCACTATACTCAACGTGTCACAAGTATAACAAGGTTTCTGCAATAACGGTTCTTTACAACATCAAAGTGAAGAGTGGGATGTCAGAGAACTTCTTTGATCAGCTATTGACGACAATTAAAGACATGTTGCCAGAAGATAATGTGCTTCCAAAGTCCACTGCTGAGATGAAAAAGTTCTTGAAGGTTTTTGGGTTTGGTTACGATGTCATACACGCATGCAAGAACGACTGTATACTGTATCGGAAACAGTATGCTCAGATGGAAAGCTGCCCTAGATGTACTGCATCAAGATGGGAAATGGATAAACACAGTGGTGAGGAAAAGAAAGGCATTCCTGCAAAGGTCCTTCGGTATTTTCCTATCAAAGACAGATTGAAGAGGATGTTTAGATCAAAAAGAAAGGCTGAGGATTTGCGTTGGCATTCCAACAATGGTAGTGAAGATGGTGTAATGCGACATCTGGTGGACTCTATTACCTGGTCACGTGTGAATAATAAGTGGCCAGAGTTTGCTGCAGAACCAAGAAACCTTCGACTCGGTCTTTCTACAGATGGAATGATAGGGTTTAGGGTTTAGGGTTTAGGGTTTAGGGTTTTAAATAGTAGCTAATATTAATGATATAAAGTATACTATTATAACATAAATGAATTCAATCATTTTGTTAATTATAACATCATTAATGTATTTCAACAATATGATTTACACAATAAGAAGGTTAGTGTGCATGTATTATAAGGGAATCATATGTGTTACCTTCAAATTTCTAAAAACATTGCAAAATATTTTTTTTAAATTGCGAAAAAGTTATCTAATCATGTAAATAAATCATAAACATATTAATTCATCAATATATAATTTTTAAAATTATATAAATTGTAAAAACACATTTTTATGCCTATAAACAAAATAAGCCAATCATAATATTTCACTCGAATTGCTGATGTGGCGAGATCTCAGCCATTCATCTGATCTAATACCTGATCAATTTACTCTATCCAATCATAATGTTTCACTCGGATACATGACGTGGCGACATCTCAGCCTTTCAAATGCTTTGGCGGCTGCATGTTTAAGGTAATCTCATCCGTTCATCGCCCAACCCTTTCTTCCTTTAATCTCATCCGTTCATCGCTCTGGGGCGAGATTCTCTTCAACCCTTTCTTCCTTTCCTCGACTGAGAACAAAATTCACAACAAAATTGATTCAGATTAGGTCTTCTCTTCGCTGATTCAGAAAAAAATTCTCTCATCCTACTTCTTCAAACCTCAAATTCATTGCCATGTCCGACTCGAATATGAGAGAACCAAAGCAGAAGACGAAGAATAAGAATGGTCTGTCGAATCTAACAAATTGTTTATGTGTTTCTTTTGATACCATTATAAGAGTTTTGTTCAACTGAATCTAACACTTGTTTATTTGTTTGACAGTAAAAACCCTAGCTTTCTCACCTTCTCTTCCTGAGACAAACATCAACAGATATCACCTTCTCGATAGAGTTATATGCTTCTCCCTTTTTCCTCATATCTCGCTTTATCGATTCTTAAATTGATTAATACTGTTATTGTTTAGACATGAAAATGGTGATTTTAATTAGCCTGAGTAGTCAAATGAACAACATTCATTTGAACTCCAGATTAGTTTGAGCTTGATTCTTATTTGGAATCCAGATTAGTTTGAGCTTTATTCTTATTTGGAATCCAGATTTGTTGATTTTTAAACATCCGAAATTGAATGAATCAGTAGATTGTTAAGTCTTTTTGTTTGTTTGTCCTTTCCAATTGAAGTGAGTATTAGAAAGGTTGAGACTTTAGACCAATCTGCTTCAGCTTTGTTTGAGATGTGTGGTTTTTTTATTAAAAGTGTTGGTTTTTCGTGATGTTGCAGACACCAGAGACTGGGATTAAGACAAAGGAGGTAAAAGAAGACAAGGATTAGGTTTTAATTCAATTTTTCCTTAATCAAAGTTAGTTTATAGCTTGAAGCAACTGTCTTGTTTGTGATGATCTCTGGTTTATGTAGTCTTATGAGGTGAATTCGAGAGGAGTTGAGATCTTCTCCAAAAGCTGGCTTCCTGAAGCTTCTAGGCCTAGAGCTTTGGTTTGTTTCTGCCATGGTTATGGAGATACTTGCACGTTTTTCTTCGAAGGCATGTTTGTTTATTTTTCATAAATAGCAAATGGTTTGTATGTTAAAATGAGGCTTGTTTGATTGCTAACTAGCTTGATTTTGCAGGAATTGCAAGAAGATTGGCATTGTCGGGATATGGAGTTTTTGCTATGGATCCGGAAACAAAAAGTCTCAAAGTCGTTTCACCATTTTGTGAATTTACGATGTTTCGGTTTACAATGGAAGTGGAGGAAAACTATAATGGAAGTGGAAAGGTGTAGAGGCTAAAGAGACAAATTTTGTGTATTTTCTTATTTTATTTTTTGTAAATAAACAAATTTTATGTATTTTCTTATTTTTTTTTTGTAAAAAAATGAGTATAAAAATACGTATAAAAATACTCTTTTGTACAATGCATCATTTGTATAAAATGTATAATTTTATATGTACAAAATACTGTATATACCTTTTAAAATCTTGTATATACGTATCGGAAATTATACGTATATTATACTTCCACAAATATACGTATAAAAATTTACGTATTTTACTTCTACAAAAACGCTATCTATACAAAATTATACGTATTTAATACTTTCATATGAATGCTATCTATATAAAACTATACGTAAGAAAACGCTATCTATAACCATATATTAACTGCTATTGTAATTCATAATAGAATAATTAACCATATATATAGCAAACAACAACCGCTATTGTAAACTTAAATATTGCGTTTACAAAACCGCTATGTATTAAAAATATACCATAGCATAAGAAACAACCGCTATATAAAGTATCAGACCTATTATAACGGGCGGAGATACATCGTTTCTAATAACGCTATAGTAGCTTTATATAGCGGTTTTCGGACGCTATGAATACCTTCATTTCCTGTAGTGGAGCTAAGGGGAAAAAACATGACAAACCTTTTTGTAAGGATTAAAGAGTCGAAGATCGCGCTAGTTATCTTCTCTAGTAGGTACTGTTAATTAACAAAGACTTATGGGTCAAGATAACCTATACTTATATCTATTCTTCATTCAATCTACATTAAAAAAAAAGGTAAAAATTCTCTATAGACGCATGTTTTTATTGTTCTCTAGACTCTAGTCAAATCATTTGTGATATTTTATAGAGTTTGTATTGACAGTATCGTCATAATCCTGCAGGTATGCGGAGTCGAGTTGGTGCATGGATGAGCTGGTGAAGATGAAGAAACGTGTGGATAAAGGAAAGCTCCAAGTCATTCCCATCTTCTACAAGGTTAGGGCAAGAGATGTGAGAGGACAGACCGGTGAGTTTGGTGACAAGTTTTGGGCGCTTGCGAAGACTTCCCGAGTAGATCAGATCATGGAGTGGAAGGAAGCCCTTGAGTGTATTTCCAACAAGATGGGTCTGTCCTTGGGAGACAAAAGGTAGTAATAGTGCTTCTGCTTTTATGTTTTTTTTTGTTTTGTTTTGACAAATAACATGCAGTTTTAATTATGTGATAACATATCGACGACTACAAGTCCTGATCGTGTTTATTTTGTCATTTTTTTTTTAAGTTAATTTCACGTTTGACATAAAAAAAAGATTTGATCTCACATTTTGGCAAAGTGAGATTCATTTCTCATGTTTTGGCAATTATTCCATTTTATGACGAAAATGCCCTTGACGAAAAACCAAACGTGAACGGTTACGTTACGGTTTAGTTTCTAGCGGTTTAGTTACTTTTTGTTTTGAAAAAAAAAAAAAAAAAATTCAAGAAAACGAAGAATTCATCATCTTCGTTCGACATCTCCGAGAGATTCGAGAGAGAAGTAGAAATCAGTTCGGAATTCATTCATCCATATTCGTTTTCGACATCTCTACTTGATTTGAGGCATTGCATTGAACTCGAAAAACCGGCGAAGAGAAAGTTCCAGTTTTTCCGGCGAAGGCGACCTGAGAATTCCGGCGAGATACCAACCTTCGAGATGGCTGGGAATAAACCAAACGACGTAGTCTCTAGGAAGAAGCATACGCAGGAAGGCCCCGAGAAGGACAAGGTGGAACTCAGAGTATCCCCGAGGAGGAAACTCCCTCCGAGAAATCCGCCGGAGGAATTGGGTAAGTTCCGATATTATTCCGTTTGTAGTTTCTTTGGGTGTATCGGAATCTTAAAGCTTGTTTGATTAAAGGGATAGAAGTTGCCGGATTTTGCTATATCTGTAGTTTGAAAATTTGAGAAGTTGAATTGGAAATCTCTGTTTCCGCCAAAATTCAGATGTTGAGTATATAATGTTGATAATTACTGTGTACGTACACGAATTCATACATCCGTACTTAATTGTATATCACTTGTAATTGCAGGCAGTACAAGCGTGGCTCCGACTGAAGATCTTATAGTTGAAGAGTTACCACCTAGACTCTTTGCCCTAGACCGGTACCCTGCGAAGACGAAGATGAACGCGTACTCCAAACCGGAGTACCTTTCTGATATAGCACAAGTTCTTAAGGGAAAAGAGGAGATGCAGTTTCTTCTCGATTCTCCATTTGGGGACCTTTTTAGGATACCTGCTAACAAGTCTTCCTTCTCAGGTAAACTTGTTCTTGGACTAATATGTCGTCAGTTAGTGACGAGTAAAGTGAATGAGATGTGGATGGTCTTCGGCGGTCATCCAATAAAATTCGGATTAAGAGAATTTAGTCTGGTAACTGGTCTAGAATGTGGGACATATCCCAACAAGAAAGACGTGACGGATGTGCTAAAGGTTAAAGCTGGTAGTCAAAGTGTCTGGAAAACTCTGTTTGAGGAGAAGTTTGGGGAGAAGCCGAATCCAACAGTGCATGATTTGGTGGTCTGGCTGAAGGAGGAGGAAACCATGGATGGGTGGAAGCAGCTGGCCTTATCTCTTATAATCTTGGTAGATGGTGTGATAGGGTGCCATAATAACCCCATAAGGCCTTCTGAGTTCACTGTTGAGATGACGAAGGACGTGCAATTCTTCTGCAAATACCCTTGGGGAAGGGTGTCTTTTACCCGTACTTTAGAGAGGATAGCAAAATTCCAAACCCCTTCAGATGCTCAAAAACTGATAAGGTGTGTAAAGGATGGGTCTTATGCACTACATGGATTCCCATTAGCACTCCAGCTGTTTGCGTTCGAAACAATCCCATCCCTTGCTAAGCTAGTACCTGATGATGAAGCTAACAGGACATTTACTCAGAGGTCTATCCATCATCTTGCCTCACTGCGGGCAATCAGGACATCCAGCATCTTGGAGTGTGAGGCTGCTGAAGAGGTATGTACAATTGTTTATGTACGTACATTATTTAAAAAGTAAGTGTACATTCTCTAAGTGGTCAACAAACTTATTGGTGTAGGTTGAGGTAACCTATCTTGTGAAACCAGAGGACAATATTTGTCCTCCATCCCTGTCATGGGATGATGAAGTTGAGGATCCAAGAGTTGCTTACATTGAGCGACTGTTGTTAGCGGGTCATGAGTGGAAGGAGGAAGAATGGGTTGGAGGTAATGCTGCATTTCCAAAGCAGGAGCGCCCACCACAACTTGGAGAGATACGTGAGTGTAAATGTTGTTTTTATACTTTCTGATTATTGTCCCTTGAAGACCAATCAATGATTAAACTGGTCTATCGTAGGTGTGAAGAAGAGGAAAAGAAATGTACCAGCCCCGAATGCACCTTCTTTGAAAAAACAGAAATCTGTTGTGGAAGAAGAAAATGAGGACACTGCTGAGGATTGTTCTGGAGATCCCCAGTTTGAGAAGTTTGTAGTTGAACTTAGGAGGTGTTTCAAGAGGCAGGAAGCACAAAATAAACAAATGCAAGAAGACTTGAAGAAATTTGTCCGTAAGGAGATTCGTGCTGCCTTAGATCCAAAGGTCAAAAAGACAGAACCAACCAAAACTTCCCATGCTTCACAGGGCCCAAATAAATCGGTGGGTAAGGCACCGATGAGTGTGAAGAAGGCATCTAAAAAGATGTCTACAAAGAAAGTATTCAAGTCTGGAACAAGAAAGTCTTCAAGGCTGAAGAATATAATGACGTCAGTTGCTGAGATTACTCAGCTTCCTGATGGTAACTCTTCCTCTGAGGAAGATGACCAGGTATGGCATGTACGTACATTTATATATAGTATTTTAAATGTACGTACATGAAGATTAATAACTGTAACTTGTCTGCTATGGTACAGGATGAAGCCAACAATGAAGGTGGTTTTTCTGTAAATGATGGAGGAGATTTTTCGAACAGAGATGAAGGTATGGTTGACACTGGAGTAGCTAACATTTCAGTTGGTGGACCTACACCTTCCCATCAGGTATGTCGTGTACAAATATTTTTTTCAATTATTTCCAGTTGTGTACGTACACATAGGCTTCAGAAGTGTATGGTATACTATGTTTCAGGATGAAGGAGCACGTGATGGTGGTGAGTCTGTCCTTGTTGGTACACAGTCAGGGACCGAGGAAAAAGCTAGTGGTGACACAGAGATGGAAGAAATTCCATCTCCTGTACCTTCAACCTCTGTACAGGTATGTCTTGTGCTAATAGTCACATACTGTTTTCCATAAGTGTACCATTATCAATTATTTTCAGTTCTCCACGTACATATAGCTTAAGAAGTGTATGGTATACTATGTTTTAGGATAAAGGACCAATTGATGGTGGTGAGCCTGTCGTAGTTGGTACACAGCGAGGGACAGATGAAAAACCAACTGCTGACACAGAGATGGTAGAAAATCCATCAGGTTTACCTGCAACATCTGGACAGGTATATGGTCTGCTAATAGTCAAATGTAGTTTTCCATATGTGTACTCACTGAATGACGTGTATGGTATATTTGTTTCAGGGAGAAGAACATGGTGCCGGTCTTGAGAGTGAAGCAAATGTTGGGGAGCAACCAGAAATTTCTGAGGGTAATGATAGAGATACATCTTCTCAGGCTGAACACACCGAGGAACCCGGTGTAAGTGTACGTACATTTGTCTTTCTTATTTCCCGTGTACGTATAAGTAATGATTGTTTCAGACATCACAAAATAGAGTATATAGCCGATGAAGTTGATAACTACTGCCACAGGTTGATGCGGGAGATGTACCCAATGTAGTTGCAGAGAGTAAAGTGGATGACTCAGTACTTGAGGGCACCCTAGGGGATCCCCCTTCACCATGTGCAGTAGTTAGGAATGTAAGCTAACTATATTTTTAAATAAAATAGTGTAGTGTAGGCTTGTTTAAATTTATAATCTTCTATTATGCAGGTGTTACAGGAGTTGGCAACGACAGCCTCCATGGATGTGGATGCAGCTAATGTAAAGGAGGTAAAAATCTCGTGTTTGGTTTAAAATTATACACAGTTATTAACATACGTACATAGGATTGTATGCGTACATTTAAATAATTCTGCACGTTAATTTGAAAAGGGAGTGTTGGAGCAGCAGGGGATTATCGACGGGGTGGAAGAACAAAAGGATTCAAACCCAGGGTTAGATGAAGCAGACACGACAGTTGGTACACTAGAAAATATTGTGAGTATCTTCTCAGTAAATATTATCATTACATTTTGAAATTGTTTAATCATGCTGTTTACAATAATACTTCTTTACAGGATGAACCAAACAACGATGCTGCAGTCGAAGCTGTTAAAATTCCTACGCCGGTTGTACCCAAAAAAATGAAGAAGCAAATAATTGTTGAGATGGATGACGCCCTTCCGGAAGGTTTTAAGGAAACAACAGTCCTCGTGCAGGATGTTCCTGGACGAGCTGAAGATTCAGAGGTTGTTATAGCGGCTGGAAATGTCCCTTACAACCCCTTGGAGAAGGTTGATGCTTCCAAATTAGAGATCTTAACCAATGTCCTCCGCGGTTTTAATGTGTAAGTATCGTGCATTATCAAAATTATCCCTTAATTGATACATTGGTTTTCTATAACAACCAGGCATACTATAATATTGGATATACAGGAAGCACACTCTTTTCGGGTATCGCAAAGTGGACAACGAGTTTTTCTCCATGCTTATAGCACAAGGACAGTGGGTGGATAATATGGTAAGTTGAAATAGTACATTTATGTACATTTTTTAAATATGCCTGAATTGTACGTACACTGACTGCCTATGCTATTATCATTTCAGATCTTGGAAATGCTCGCAATCTTGATGTGGCACAAGAACGGTCAACAAATGATAGCAAACCGATGCGTTGTTTTGGACTCCTTCCTGCTTTATGAGCTTACTAAGCGTGCTGTCAGCTTCAGGAATTGTAGAAATAAGCATGGGTTCAAATGGGGCGACCGGCTATACGACATGGCCAATGGAATACACATACACCGTGAACCTAGTCTTAGGTGGTTCAAGGATGTCGACGTGGTATATGCTCCGATGAACTGGAAAGGTGATCATTGGGTTGGGTTGGCAATCCACCTCAGAGCCCGGAATATAGTTGTCTATGACGCTCTCATAGAACACACGCGGGAGTCTGTTGCATGGTCAAAGATGCAGCCTGTCTGCGAGATGATGCCGTACCTAGTGAGAGCGATGTGCGCGGATGTATTGCCTGCGAAGTACTCAGTTGAACCTTTTGCCTATGAGAGAAATGTTATGGTCGCTCAAAACCCAAGTACAGGAGATTGCGGGCCTTACGCAATGAAGTTCTTGGAGTTGCTGGCGTTTGGTAACCCAATGTCAGACTTGGTGAATATTCAAGAAGCAGATATGGCCACCTACCGTCAGGTGTACGCAACAGAAATCTACGAGCACGGCAAGCGCGAGTGTGGTAACCGGCGTTTATTGTAATCATCCCTGGATGTTGAATTATTTTTATTTCCTAGTACTTATTTCCTTATTTCAACAACCTAATTAGAACAACGTAATTAATTATGGAGATCCTCAAAATATTTATGTAATCGTTATAACTATCTTCTCTAAACAATCTGCACATCGTACACTTATTCAAAAACCAACATGTGTACGTACATCTTATATAACGTACGTCTTTTACACAAAGTCGATTTTTCTCATAATAAGATATCTATTTCTTTACTTACATTGATTTGACAACCCTCCCCCACTGCATCTTACTTACATTGATTTGACAACCCTCCATCACTTACGTAAGATTGCATTAACTACAACCATAACTTAACCAACTAACTTCATTGTTCTTTATTTAAGAGTAGGAATTGCATTGTTTTGAAACACCAAATTCCTAGAAATGTCTACACCAAATCTACCTGAAGATTTGCTAGCCAAGATAGCCAAAAAAATGGCTGACAAATGTTGGTGGTACCTCGGACCTCTGTTAAGATCAGGGCGTGGTGGAAGAAACATTGTCTACAGGCCGGATGTCTTGAAAGATGCTAATATTTATAGCATGTGCAGTGATCCCGATGACTTCCATGCGGTAGGCCATGATCCGAATGACATCAACGCTGAAGGTCGATATAGACCCTTTTTCAAAAGGTGTCTAGAGGCTGGTAACCCGATTGCTATTTACCATGAAGGACTGCGTCTAGTTACCCATGAGTCTGACATTAAGGGCGCCATTGTACTTTTACAGCGGAATGTACCAAGGCACGCCGATGCAACCCTGGCCTGCGCTATTCTGTGCATATGCGACGGGAATGCTCACATGGGTGGTGTGTACCTACGCCTGTTCGCAAACAACCATTACCCTTTGGAATCAGAAGAAACACGTGACATGTGTGAGGAACTCCTAGAAGAAATAAAAAATTATGGAATTAGGTTAAACAACACATACGGCGCAACATTTTCGTACCCTGAGGAACGTGGTATTCAAACGCCTCCTTGCGCGATGCTGTGTTACATCAGATCTGGACCCTTCAAGAATGTGTGCAACGTATGTTACCTCTGGTGGTGTGCGAGAAGAATTATTCAAATTCTCTAGGGATTTCTTACGTAATATTATCTGAATTTCTAAGTTTTTATGTTATAATATGTGGCCTTTGCAATTGTACTTTGCTTATCAGTAATGAATATCTTTTTATCTACATCCTTGCTTGTTTCTCATATACTACTAAATCTTATGAATGGTTACAAATAATTGTAATATTTTATATTAAATTGAGAAACAAGTTTCTTAATGTTAGATAATGGTGCCTTGTCTACAGAGGCTTACGAATTATCAGTAAATACATACTGACCTGATTTAGTCATTGATAATGACCTCTATCTTTCAAAAAAAAAAAAAAGAAACGCAAATTTATGTACATATATACGTACACATCCCTGTAATTAATGTACACTGTCTTTTGTCAGATAAAACGAAATTGCAAAAGAAAGAGATTTGGTTTTTAATGCGTTTCCCCCAGATTTAGCCATATACATGAACTCAATCTTTTCCCCTAATTCGGCGACAGACATCAACTCAAACTTTTAGTCAGAGAACGTAATAAGGGTAGACATACGTACACGGGTATACGTTACTGTGTACACGTATTTTAGTTGGTTTAAAACTATAAATATGAGAAGCGACTTTCGAGATGGTAGTAAATGATGATGCAATTCTGATTGATTTGACCTGTAATAACCCATATCTACAAGTTTTGGAGTGGTTATTTAATGCATACGGCCAAGCTCTATTCATAGAATGACCTCTATCTTTTCGCATAAATCTCCTTACTTTACGTACACGGTTTGCAATTAATGTACACTTGCATTTGTCAGATAAGAAGAACTTTAAAAATAATGACACTTTATTAATGCGTTCCCCCCAAATGTAGCCATGTACATGAACTCAATATTTAGGCCCTATATAAACGATATCACACACACTAATTTATTTGCTCACATCATTCTAAAACTTCCTTCTTTCATCAACTGCAAGATTATTTCTAAACCTCCTTTGTTAACAACATGGCTTTCCCCGCAACCCCTCCAACCGAGATGTACCTTGCAATACAATTGCCAAACCCGATTTCCGTCCTCATCAACTACCTGCCCGTATCCCAGACTCCCATCGAGACCCTCCGCCAATTGGTCGAAGCAAGTGACGTAAACGCAATAGTGATGGACGACTTCATCACATGGCCTCACTTCGTGCAGCCGGAGTCTCCCTTCAGGGCCTACTTCAGCCTCTTGCTGGAAAGGGGTGCGATCCCGGCTATATACCTCGAAGGTGTCCGCCAGGCAAGCAGCTTCCTAACGGTGGCCCACGGCATTACACTACTCAACTCCGTCGCTCCATCCAACCCTCTCGCCTGCTTCGCGACCGGCTTATTCCTAACTTGTACTGGCAACCATGTCGACTTTCTTCCAGTCAGCGATATGTTCTGGGCGATGACACCCACATTAGCGGCAGCTCACGCAGTGGGGGAGATGGTGATGTATCACATAAGCCAGCTTCACACCGAAGGTCCTCGGCTCTGGCAACGTTCATGGAGGTATGTGCACACACCGGCATGTCTTGGCCGTTGCACGTACAGTTCCGGCTGCAGAGGGTGTTTCTTTTACTGGTACGCGAGGAAGATGTGTGTCTTCTATTAGATATGACTTTGATAATGACGGATGAGGCATACAATTTTCCGGCTCATGTGTATGCTTCGGGCTCTACTTTTTAGTTTATTGCTTCCGCATCTAATATATAGTTTGTCTTTCTTAAATGTATGTCCTTCTTCGGGCATTTAATTATGAATGAATGAAGTTTTTGTTGTTTGAGGACAAAAAATATGATATATGTATGTTTTCGTGTACGAACACGGGTTTCGTACAATTTGCTGATTGAAGAACCAAAAAGCTAGTAAAACGTACACTGGCAAATTAATTGTAATTGAAGACACTGTACGTATAAAATGTACGTACAGTTACCCAATAGTTTATTATACAAATTCAAGTAATTAGAAAACGACAACAAGTTTATGTAGTTTTACAATACTTAATATAAATCTGGTCATTAATAATAAGAAGACTGGGGAAAACAAATCCCCCTATCTAAAAAACGACCTGCTTGATCTCTTCCACTTCCGGTGTGTCCGGATCGGCAAAGACCTTTGACACAGGACCATGACTCACAACCTTAGGATTAGCTCTGTCGGTTAAACGCCAGAAGACGAGTGCGACAACAACATTGCGCTGACCTAGACTCCGAAAGAAGGTTTGGAATTCCAACGCCTGTTCATTGTGTGCTTCGCATTCCAAAACTTCGTTGCTACATTATATTAAAAGAAGAATCAAGTCAGCGTTTAGATTAAAAAGTGTAAGTGAATCAAATGTGAAAAGAACATTTACTATCTATCTTTGATCTTGAAAGGAAGCTTGAGACCGTCGAAGTCTCTGGTCAAGTGGCCAACCTCCAACAACGCTCCAATGACATCTACATATCAAGGGCCATAAAATAGAAATAAACTTCTAATTTCAAAAATGTGTAAATAAAACGTAACTTAAAAAACATCTCACCGACTAAAACTTTAGTATCAACTGTTTTCTCCAAAATGTAGTCGAATTGAGTGAAATCGTAAAACGATATTGGGTCCCTTCGTAAGGCGTTAGTAACGACGGTCCGATCCATAAACCATATGCCGTAGTCATGAGATGTTGCTCTCACTGGGTCAGCGACGTTACGGACCAAGAAAGTGGTCACAATTTTCCACTCATTTTCTTTGATTCGGTCTATGTAAAAAGGAGCAAGGCGACGATCAATGGTGGCCTCGATACGGGAACGGGATCCCTACAGAATATGATATATAACAGATTTATATAGAATAGAACCTAACGTATGATAAAAAAACACAAACACGGCACAGGGAAACTACCGAATTATCTGCCAAGATAAGGCCGAGTTCGAAGATGTTGGGCGCAACAAACTTCTTAAACACTCTCACGACAAATACACAAATTGTCCACCCAGTGATCTGAGGACACAATTCAGAGATGGTGTGATACCCGTCCATCACACGGTTAGCAAGAACAATCGAAAGACTTTGTGTTTGATTGATGTAACTGCCGATGTGGGAAAGGGTTTTCGTTTGAAGGAATGTGGATAAAATTGAGGAGGAGATGTGGCTTAAATAAGGAAATTCCGTAACGGACGCGGTGGGTAGTGCGAAAGTGTTCCAACGGTTGAGATACAAATGTGTGTAACCGTTTGTAACCGTTTATTGCATGAAGATTATACGTACACAGACACAACAAACACGTACACTAACAAAACGTACACTCAGAAAACGTACATAGTTATACGCTGGCAAATATTAAACGTACGTACACCGTCACAACACTTTGGTACACACTGTCCACACATAAACGTACACTGTCTTCGCGGAGACATAAGGCTTTTGAGGAGAACTAAATAGGATTTTTGCAAGTCTTCTTGTTATGACCTGCTTGTCTACATCGTGTGCACTGATTCGGAATAAGTCTTTTCTGTCTCTTTTTCTGAAATGACAACAACAATAAGTTAATAATCTACGCATCTTATACTCAAAACGTTTGAATGATAGCACTTACCCGGTTTTCACCTCTAGATGGAATCCTTTTGGTTGTTGGTCTTCCTGGTGGTCGTCTACAGTATGGAGGAATTAGTATCAAATCCGATATATGTTGTGGGATGACAACATCCTTCGGATCCGCGATTGGTAGAATCGGTTCTTGAAAAGAATCGGAAAACGTTTGAAGGCCATACCACCATCCTACAACAACCTTCGGATCTATTCCAAACTCGATTGCAGCTGCTAGACCGTGTTCACTTGGGATTCTCAACTTTGTGTACCTAAGACACGTACACGTACACTCGTCCAGAACGACATGAAAATGCTCACCTAACTTGCTTGTAAGTTGATAACTCCACGGTCCAGACATCTTAACCGCGAATTCCCTGACGCAGGCAAATCTTGGAGAAAACGCTCATCAACCTCAGGCGTCACTAAAGACTTACACCTAGCCACTTTTTGCCTCCTCGCTGCGAACCATCGCATTAGGACCTCTCGAATGAACTCTATCATGTACACAATCGGATATGATTTGGCTCTTGTTAAGACATTATTCATAGACTCCGAGTTGTTGCTAGACATGATATTGTAGCGTTCCCCTTTACAGTGAGCTCTTGTCCAATGCTCAAATCCAATTTCCTCTAAGTAATTTGCGCATGCAGCACTCTTAGCCCTTAACTGTTCGAAGTATTTTTCAAAATCTCTCACTCTGTAAGCTTTAGCAGCGCTGAAGAATAATCCAGATACACCATACTTACCATAATGGGTGGAGATATTTCGCTCAAGGTGTACTGCACATGCACCATGATGAGCTTTCGGATAAACCACACTGAGGCCGTTATATATTGAAGAATGTCTGTCCGATACAATCATTAATTCTTCACTGTCTGGAACAATGTCAGCTAATTTATCAAAGAACCACACCCATGAAGCGTCAGTCTCACCATCCACAACACCAAACGCTATTGGAAATATTTGGAAGTTCCCGTCTTGGGCACATGCAATGAGGAGACATCCCTTGTAACGTCCTACTAGCTGCGTTCCATCTACGACAATTACCTTCCTCATATACTTCAGACCTTTTATAGAAGCCCCGAGAGATACAAAAACATACTTAAAGCGCTGCGTACCATCAGCTTCAGGTGTAGAGTGTAGGTGAGTTATCGTACCCGGATTAGCTAATTTAAGAAGATACAAATAGGTAGGCAAAAACCTGTAACTTTTTATATCATCCCCCCTTACATTTTCCACTGCAACCTCTTTTGCTCTCCAAGCGGTAGAATATGAAATCCGAACATTGAGATCATTTAGGAGCAACTGTGGTAAATCGACAGCTCTCGGACCCCCTTGCGTAGAACTGTATCTGCTCTTCACTACCTCTCCGAGAAGCTTATAACTAGCATGTTTATTATAATGCTTACGAGTGTCGATGTCACACGTATGGGTGGTATCATACGATGTGATTTTGAAACATTCTGAATTCTTGACAACTTGAGCTGTCAAATGCCATGGACAAGTATCATCAACGCAGACCATCTCCAATCTTGTAGGACATGACCTACGTTGCTTGTAGCAAAAGCATTGTTTGATTGCGAGATAAGACATTGTTTGTTGTATGACTTTTCTGTTCTTAAAAACACTCCCGACATACAAAGTCTCACCTGTCGTACTCAGTTCGACTTGTGTCTCATCATCTCGTAAATTGGCTAAATCATCGAATACCGGAGCAGCATCATTATCGAGAATCTCCAACTCGCCACCATGTAATGTAGAAAAGTCATTATACACTTCGTAAGCCTCAGCTGCGGTAACTAACCGATTATCATTCAGTGTCCCATTTGCGGGAGCTCCAATACCACGGTCGATAGTGACTTCGTATATACCATTAATATTGGTATCCGTGTTACATTCGCAGCCTGAATCTTGTACACACTCTGTAGTGTACGTACATTGGTACAAACCATGTTGACACGTACGTCTTGGAGTCACCGTTGGTGTACGGTCACCCGAATGAGAAATGTTATCTCCGCCAGGTGCAGTAACTAGCCGATTATCATTCAGTGTCCCACTTGGGGAATCTCCAATACCACGGTCGATAACATCATCCCCAGAGACATCGTCTATACCATTAATATTGGGATCGGTGTTACCTTCGCAGCCTGTATCTTGTACACATTCTGTTGTGTACGTACATTGGTACAAACCATGTTGACACGTACGTCTTGGAGTCACCGTTGGTGTAAGGTCAACCGAGTTATCTCCCCCACGTACACGATGACTTGTGTACGTACACTCTGCCAATAGACGACTGAATTCCCCTGGATGTTGAACCGTTTGTTGAGTGAGAATGACGTCCTCCTCAACATTCCCTATTCCATATTCTTCAATAATTAAATCGTTCCACTTGTTGTAATCGTAATCTTCGCCACTGCCTTCACTACCGTCTATAGTAGGATCGAGGGTACTTCCCCCCATAGATCCATCATCACCCTGATAATCATCATACCCAGCACCATCTTCGTTTTCCTCCTCCTCTTCTTCATCCTCATCTGTTTTATCGTCTTCAACGTCGTCTTGCTCATCTACGGCCTCATTATTTCCATCTACATTTGAAGCCGCTACGATGGGATTTGGTGTCGTTGCACTCCCACACACACGGTAACTCTCACCATCGGTCCTAGGGACAGTATTCCCGAGTGCCTTGAAAGAGACAAACAAGGTGACACTAGGATCCCCACCACGAATCAAAAAGAATGTATCCAGGTTCATTTGATTGTCAATGTATACAGGAGGGCGTTTACTTTCTATCATCACTGACATCTTTCCCGGCATCCAGTAACTAATTATTGGATTGCATTCGGTGCACTTCAAACTGAAAACCTCGCATAATGTACGTACAAATTCCGTGTACGTCATGTTTTGCCTAACACGTACACAACGACCAAACCAGCCTTCCCATGGTTCAAATTTCCATTCTTCTTCTTTGCATTTCCACTCACCCACCATAGTAAATACGGGAATATCCATTACCAACCTGCATCATAAATTCAGCAGAACCCCATTAAATGCAAATGAAAGCATGATTATATCTACAAAAAACAAAAAGAATTCCCAACTACACACTTATAAACATAAATCTATCCTCATTTAGCAATTTCAACTAAAAAAAGTGGAAATAAAAATATTCTGGGTTTTTATATAAAAACAATGTTGATCTTAGCACACAATCAAGACCCTAGTGTGTTAAAACAAAAAACTTCTTAACCAATTTCATTACTTACACGTTCAATGCTTGTCTTGGCTCCAAACTTTGTAAATCAAGAAGATCAAACCGATGCAGAATCACATTCGTTCAGAAAAATTTGTTTGTTTCATGGATCATGTTTGTCTCTTACAACTATTCACGCATAAAAACTAATATTAGAAAAGTAATGATGACTTTTGCATTAATTGTGACATGAGTCATGTCTAAACTTTTTGGGCATTAAATACTGATGTCTCATTGTGTTTTAATGTTTTTATTCCCAACTTGTCACTGTACTCCCGCACAAAATCAATTAAGAGCGAAATATATTGCGTAACCGGAACAGTGTACGTAACTAAACCTCTTAACTGAACCGTACAGTGAACCGCTTAACTGAACCGTACGCTTAACTAAACCGTACAGTGAACAGTACATCGGTAAGGGTAAAATGGTCAGATTTTGGCCAAAATGTCAAAACATGAAAGCTCATTCTCACTTTGCCAAAACTTGAAAATAAAACTTGGTCAACTGCCATAACTTGAAATTTACCCTTTTTTTTTAAGTTAATTTCACGTTTGACATAAAAAAAAGATTTGATCTCAAATTATTTTGTCATTTTATGTTATACTCCCTCTGTTTCACAAAGAGTGTCATTTTAGAGTTTTGCACACAGATTAAGAAAACATTAAATTTTTTGTTTTTTCTAAACAAAAACATCATTAACTATATACCTAAACATAATCTGCCCAATAGTAAAACAATATGCAGAATACTAATAGTCATAAAACATTAAAAAACATTAAATTTTGCATTGAAAACCTAAAACGACACTCTTTATGAAACAAAAATAAAACCTTAAAACGACACTCTTTATGAAACGGAGGGAGTAGTATTTACTAAAACAAATGAATGTAGATAAGTTGGTTCATTTATCGCATATGCTTTCTTAAATTCATATAGAATATGCACATGTTTTTAAGCAAATGTTATTTTATTTATCAATCATGCACACACATCACTATCTCATCTTATCTCTTTAATTTTTTTTTTTCACATTTAAATACTACTATTTTCAAGAAAAAGAACAAATCATGTTTGAGAGAAACGTATACATGCCAAGGGACTTGGAATCTTTTTTTTTTTTTGGTGTGATAAAGATAATGTTAAAGATGTGTGGATCTTAAGGATTATGGATACAACAACACGTGTTTGTTTTGGTTTTATGTTTCGTTTTATGAACGAAAAGTACATTCACAAAATAGCATGCTTTCAATCAACTTACAATTTTTTGCAGTTCAGAAGCCGATTTTATCAAGGAAATTGCTAAAGAGGTGAAAAGAGTTGTAGCCGAAATTGGATGCCAGGCCACAGAAAATCATCAATGTATCAATTCTCTCCCGAATAAGAAGAGAGAGATGTATCAGTGTTTTCCTGAATGTGAGAAGAGAAGTCTTGGAAATGGTCATATTAATTTCTCAAGAGGTCAAGAGGAGCAAAACCAAGAAGTTCTGATATTTAAACATGGTTTTATTAAATGATTCAAGTACGTTAGACAGCACGAAGCTCTTCGTTTTGTTTTTCAATAAGTTAGAGTCACCTATTTCTCTATTTCATTGTAATTTTTTTTAAGTTACTGTTTAAGGATTTTGCATATTTGTATAAAAATTATGTAAATTATGTAAAATAATTTTTTGAAAAATTTGATTTTTATTTTCCGAAATTATAATGTATAGAATCTATATATATAATGGGAGAGTCCTCTCTCCATCTAGGCTATCCACATCATCATCCACCTAAGCATGCATCTAATTAAAAATTAAAAATATAATTTATTTAAAATGTTCATTCAATACATACTTATTTTTATTTATTGTTACTTATAATTATAAAATATTTAAGTTAAATACAAATGAATTAATATTATATGTAAAAAGCAAAGAAATATAAATTTATACCTAAAAATATAATTTGAATTTTAGCGAGAAAATGTTTAAGATTAATCATATTAAAAATTTTATAAACATTTCAGTTTTATAATTGATATATTAAAAATCAATATGATGGATATTTTTGAAATTGTATGAAAGTTGAAAGATCATACATTTATTAGCTTTCAAAAAAAATATAGTAATGAATCATGACATATTTAAAAATCAATATGTTGGGTATTTCTAAAAATTGTATAAAAGTTGGAAAGACATACATTTTTTAGTTTTCAAAAAATATATAGTGAATTAGTGATGAATCTTATGACAATTTACTAATTAAAATAATAGTTGATTAGTTTATAAATGAAAGTAAACAAAATGTTAAAATATATCTAAATAGTATCGTGTATAATAATTGAAAACAAAACTAAAATATAATTATATATACTATTAATTTTTAGCTTATCATAAATATAATATAAAATTTTATATAAGTAAATGTATAAATGCATTTGATAGTAGTACAAACATTATGCACTTATTAAAAATATAAAAGATTATTTTTAAAATATCAAAAATAGGTAGAAATAACACAATTGCAACATTGGATTTAATAAGATACAAACAAAGAATTAAAATAAAAATAATAGAATATGAAAATATCGGAACTGAGTGACAAAATTAGTCTCAGAAAGATAAATTCCTAAAGAAAAAGCCAATATATAAAATAAAAATATATATTTTCGTCAAGAACTTATTTTATTAAGTTAACAAATAGTTACACAGCAGTTCCTTAAGCCATATTGGCGGAATCAATGAATCCGGAAGGAAAAACGACATTGGACAAACGAATTTGGCTAAACTATCAGCTACACAATTACAAGATCGTTTTACAAAATTGAAACTTATATCACTAAACTTTCCTCTCCAAAAACCAATGTCTTGCAGCAGGTTCTCTACTTCACTATGACTGGAATTTCCATTGATTAAGTTGATCAATACTTCACAGTCTCCCTCCAAGATTACTTGAGTGAATCCTCTTAACCATGCTTGATGCATCGCTGTCAGAAGTGCTTTTGCTTCGGCCATCAACGGAGAAGCTGCACCATTCAAATCCAAAGATCTCCATGCTTTTGCAGTACCGTGATGATCCCGTATAATCCATCCTCCACGAGCTTGCATAGTGATTTGGCTGAAACTAGCATCAAAATTAGCCCTGAGACCAATTATCCGGGATCCGGGATCCGATCCGAGATCCGCTCCGATCCGCTCCGAAAAACCGGATATCCGGATGGGGCGGATCCGGATAATGAAAAAGCGGATCCGGATCTGGATCCGGATAATGGAAAATTTAAAGCCGGATATCCGGATCCAGGATATTTTATATTATAATAATATTTTTAATATTTTATTACTATTATTTAAAAAAATTATTAATAAATTTTATTATTTTTATAAGAATAATATTTTCTACTAATATTTTTAATTATTTATATTAAATTATATGTTTTTAAATATTTTTCTTCAATTTTTATATTAGTAAAAAAAATTATATAAAAAAAACCCGGATCCGGATATCCGGCTATTTTTACGGATATCCGAAATCCGGATATCCGGGTGGAACGGATCCGGATCCGGATAATGAAAAGGCGGATCCGGATACACTAAAAAAGCCGGATATCCGGACTCGGCCCAGCCCTAATCAAAATTACACTTCACAAAGGGATGTTCCGGAGTGGACTATATATATATCTTTTATTTTTGCTTCTAAATACAATAGATATAAATTTGGAAAAGATAAACCACATTTAAAATAGCACACTTGAGTTTCTAGAATTATAGAAGAAAATGTTATGCATAAGAATTCATGTACTAAAATATATATATAATGAACGGTCATAGGATAATAAGTCAAATGCAAAAGAAAAAAAAACGTTTACTATATGTAGTATATTATAAATAAACGTATATATCTATACAATTATCACTTATAATATTTCTATTATATTTATATAACCGCCTTTTTACCAATAGAATTTACATATAGTTTTCAAATAGTATTGTAATTAAAAATATTTAAAATAATATAATTTACAAAACTATAAAAAAATTAAATATATATTGCTAAACTCACGCAATAAACCTAAGCAACGCGTGGGTCCATTTCTAGTTATAGTTAATTACTAAATAAGCATAATGGAATCCTAAGGCCTTCAATGGTTTATTTGAATTTAATTTAAAGTTTTTACACCAACTCAGAAGTTATAAAGTCTTTTTTACCAAAAGCATGGTTTACGAAAAAATCGTCTATCATGGATTTTTGTGATCCAGATAATATTTGAAATCCCACAAGAGGTGAACCACTAGTATGGATTCTGAACATCAAACATTCAATTAATTGTACCTACTAGAGAAGATAACTTCCGTGATCTTGACTCTTTAGTCCTTGCAAAGAAGTTTAATAGAAATATTTGAAATCCCACAAGTGCTATACCACTAGTACTATGTGTATTTAGACTCAAAGGAAACCACCGACGCCAAAAATTTGCAGAGCCATGTTCCCTTTTTACTGAGCAGAACTGTTGGATCATATACAACATTGATGAAATGGTTGCATGAATTTCCAAGTAGGGTGTCAAAGCACGACCATATATAGATCATTCCTTTGTTTAAAAAAAAACATATGGAGTTGTTCGAAAGAACCAAAAAGCTAAAATCGGAGTAGGGAAACGACTTTGAATATCTTCCCAGGCTCACGAAGGGCCAAACAAATTGTGGAAATAAAACTTGCAAAAGTTTTTATTAAATAAATAAAATAAAACAAGAAAGCAACAATTGAAATCAAACTTGTAAAAGATCTTCTTGTTCACTTGCTTTAGCGAAAGTCTCTCAAGGAATGGTGATCAAACTTGGAACATAGACAGAGGACTCAAACTCACACAGCACTTGATCTATCTTAATCTTTTTGCACATATCTCCCCTCACAATATACACCCAAGCTGCTTTAGGTCTCTTGCTTGGACAACACAGAACAAAGCTCTTTCCATATATATTATTATCCACGAAGTATCTTGCAGGGCTGTTACAAAGTAACATGGGGAAGTCAGGTATTGAGAAAGTCATGAACTTAATCCACACCACATGGTCTCCATCATCCCCGTTACCAATTTTATCCTTTGTCACCCAAATCTCAATCTCTCTTGTTTTTTTGGATTGTTCTAACACTGAAAACCGATCTCCCTTGTAAATCGAGAGAATACGAGTATGTGTAGTACTTTTTTTCCCCTTACACGGTAAAACACAAAAGGTCTTTTGACACATTTCTATCTCTTTCGAAAAATCGAGCATTAGGATGAAATACTGACCAGTTTGGGGATAAGTATAAGCTGTCCAGTACAAATTTCCATTCAGGGAGACCCTACCATTATCACACGTTTCGCTTATTAACTCTAGCTCTTCTTTAAAACGGGTATGATCAGTAACCTTCCACGCATTGGTTGCAAATTCGGCTACTGAATATGTCGTAGTAATTCCATCCCACGAATGACATTCCGACATCCCAATAATCTTGTAACTCTTTTCGGGTCTACTACCATCGTAACCCATGCCCCTGCCACATATATACTCAGCCTTGGCAATCCATTTAGTATGTCTCAACAACGGGTTCGAAACCACGCCTCCACCTCCTTTATGAAAGTCATACATGAAAAAATAACCATCGCAGGTCCCATGGAGATGATAACGGCGACCGCGTAAATGATCAAAGCGTAAATCACGCACCTTTATAGTTGGATTTTCGTTGAGATCGACGCTTATTGAATAAAGATGGGAATGTGTCTTTAACATGAATTCTGGGCGACCGGAAGCAAAGTTTTTGTTGATGAATCTCTTATTGTGGAAAAGAGTGTTCCATTCTCTGCAAACGGATCTGAAGCGAAGGAGAGATCGAGGTGGAACTCGAAAGAGTATCTCTTCTTCCAGATCTAATGGAAGCTTTCTCGCCACCATTAGGGTTTTGTTTGTCAAGGAAGCAAAAGAAGAAAATATATATATATACTAGTGTTATCACCCGTGCCCACTTATTGACTTGGCTGCCCACCATTTTACCCATAGAAAAATTGTTGTTTATTCACGAATTTTTTCCAATATTCAATCAAAGTTTGAGTTGATTAAAAGTTTATTTGGTTATGATTATTATTTATTTTTGATATGAACCTCTAAAATTAAACTTTAAAAGTATAGTAAATCCAAAATAAATATATAGAACATAAATGGCATAATATTTAGTTATTTTTTTGTCACCATTTTTTAGCAGTGAAGAAGATTTTAACAAAAAAATACATAAATGAATCAAATGAATAAAAAGAATGTATCTATTTCCAAATTCAAAATATTTTTGGTAGGCCTACTCAAATTTCTTCACTTTTTTTTTCATGTACTTGTCTAAATAACACATGCTTCTTCCGAGATTTGATTAGCTAAATGATCAAAATTTATTTGTCTTTTTTTATTACTACCCAAACACTCGTCTGCCAAATGGCAAGGTAAAATTCAAATATAAATCTGTGTCCTTGATCAGCTCTTTTGATGTAAAGTGTTCCATAAATTGATTGACACTTTATGTCCTACACAAGTCTCTGGCATCCTTCCTGAAATCATGGACCTCCTAGTCCCTGAACATGCCCGTAAGCAGAACCAATTCATGGCATTACACTCGTAAGTCGTAAGAGTCTTCCATGTTTTCTGTACAAGATATTAGTTTTCTCTTCTTCTCTGTAATTGCTTTTTGGATCTCAGCTTTGGGGATTTTCAGTAGATAAAACCTTCTTCTGTGTAAACAGGAATCACTGACAGAGAAACGACTTTGAATATTGTGTAAATCAAATTTGCAAAATTTTTAATAAATAAAACAAGAAAGCAACAATGGAAATCAAATGAGCAAGCTTATGCGGGAAAAAAAATAAAGATTTAAGAAATTTCAAGCCTGAAACGTGTTAAAATAACATAATATTTATAAAAACAGTGACACTTTATAACGTACAATTGTTCAAAATAGCATGGTTACTTTCTCAATTCTTTTCAAATCCATGGTTAGTTTATGCATATTCTCTAATTTATAATATGATTATTTTTTTTTCAACTTTCAACTATTTCTCTAACAAAGTGATCGATCCTAAAAACCAAAAAACTAAAAAAAAGAAGATGTTATCGAACAAGAATTAACATTTCATTTATGAGACCGAGTAATAAGTTTAACATGGGATCAAATAAGGCAACTCAAATGGATCTAAACAGTAGTGATCTTCATAGTGGTCTACTAGAGTTTGCGATAAAACATCATCGATATCCGGGAAAAGGATTATTTTGTGAATGTTAATGCCACTAGGGTTTCTGTTGCATTACTCACATCTAACCTCCTTTATACAGGAAAGTCGGCTTTTTCATACATGTACAAATGAACTGTGTTGAATTCATACATTTGACTTATACGTATGCTAAATCATACATGCACTTTTAAAAAATTTGAATTTCAAACCCGAAGTTAACTTTTTGTGCCAAATCATACAAAAACGTGCAAAATATTTAACAGTGTTAACCCACAGTGAAATCGCAGTGACATGGATTACACGTGTACAATTTCAACACAAAACGACGTCGTTTTACGAAAAAATCAAAATTTCAGAAAAAATACAGATCTTAGATCTCGAACCCATGACCTCTAATATTCAAAGACTACTCATAACCAACATGTGAACAGAATTCTCGTTATATTCATAACCCATGACCTCTAATATTCAATGACCTCTAATATTCAAACACCTCTTTCAATCTGATGAATGAAGAGGAGACAGTTGTGTTAAGGTGTAAAGGAAACATATAACATCCCACTGGCTCTGCCACATGCATGGGCTCAGCGGTTGGGCTGGTACAATGTACGGCTTATACTCTTAAGACTTTTTACAAGTATGCGTCACCAGTCATGGATGTTCTTGCTGGTCAGGCTGGCTCTGTTGTGGCTATTACAAACAGTTGGGCTGAAAGGTCAGTTTGAATTTCGCAACTTTACAAAGATTTTGTTTTCATTGCTCTCTCTGTTTTTATGGCACAAATTGCTAACACTGAAAGAGGTGTCTCAACTTTTCCCAAGGTATCATTTTTCGGAAGAAAGCAGAAACGACTTTAAATACCAACAACTGCAATAGGTAAATGATTTGGATAAACCATCATTCCTTTCAAAATCTAAACTCATACCGTATAGAAATCGGTCTTGTTTGATACAAAAACGTCATAACAAAGAACAAAGCAAGTGCAAAAATTCTGAGCAGAGAATGATAAAACTGGAAACAACTCAATAGCCACCCTTGAGATCGTTGACAACATCGTAAGGAATGGGAGTAACAGTCTCCAATGTCATACCTTCAACCATGAAACCTGGTTTAGGACCTTTCGGCTGTCTCTTCGTGCTGATAGTCTCTCCTCTGGCTTTAGCTGCAGCCTTAAGCACATCGTTCTGCTTCTTCCTGAGTTTAAACTCCTCAGCACACCTTGACTGCTGCACATGCTCCACACGCACATGTATCCTCTTCCTTATGATTCTGTTCCCAATCTAATATCCAACCCAAAACACAAAATTAGCTCTCCAAGAGATTACACAAATCATAAACACAATACATTCAAAGAGACAGCTTCCAAAAAAACAAAGCCAATATCAAAACATCACTAAGAAAAGGACCCAAGAAGAAAAGCTTGAATCTTTCGAACCACTACTAATCCAACAACTCAGAACTCAAACAGATAGCTCACACAAAGACGAATTAAACCCTAAAACAAAGAATCAAAATCACGTTCAAACCCTAATTTAAACAATCAAAACTCTTCAAAACAGATTTAAAAATTTGAGTAATCAAACCTGTTTGTTGACTTCAACACCAACGGCACGCTTAGTGACATTCCAGATGCGACCAGTACGACCATGGTAGAACTTATGAGGCATACCCTTGTGAATAGCTCCATTAACCTTGACATCGACGTAATCGCCGACCTTGAAGGTTCTGAGATAAGTGGAGAGTGGAATATAACCCTTCTTCCTGAATGGTCTCGCAAACAGATCTCTTGTTCTCGCTCTTACTCCGTGTCCCGCCGGCATTGTTCCTCTTCTCTCTCACTTCTGTCTCTGGGTGAAACCCTAAAAAATGGGAGAGAGATGAAACTAGTTTAAAGGCTTTTTGGTGTACATGGCCTATTGGGCTTTCAATGTTTAGCCTTATTTAGATTGATAGAAAAGCCCCTATATTTTCAATGATTTGTGATTTGAACCGCCGGTATTTATTAGGTTCGGATATTCGGGTCGGGTTTTTCGGGTTCGAGTTTTTCGGATCTAGAAGTTTAGGATTCGTTCGGGTATTTTAATATTTCGGGTAAGATTTGGTTCGGGGTTCGGGTTCGAGTTCAGATTTATTCAAATATTCAAAAATCAAAATTTTGTATGCAAATCTATTAAATTACTTAAAAATTTCAAAAATTCCCAAAACAACACAAGTATTTTTACTTGAATATATCCAAAAGTAACCGGAAATACACAAAAATAACCAAAATACTCGAAAAATCCGAATATTTTTCTATATATAAGTATAAATATTACTAATATATCATTAATATATACTAATATTTGAAGTATGTTCGTGTACATGTTCGGGTTGGGTTCAGATTCGGGTTTTTCGGTTTTAAAATTTAGGATCCATTTGGATATTTGAAAATTTTGGTTCGGATCAGATTTTTCGAATTGGGTTTGGGTCGGTTCCTCGGGTTCGGGTATTATGCCAAGGCCTAGTATTTATTATACTAGATAAGGCCCGCCTATTTAGGCGGAATAAAATATAACTATGATTTTTTATCGTTGATATTTCAATTTTGAATATTAAATAATATTTTACATATATTTTATTATTTAATTTAATATTTTTTTGTTTTAAACACAATTTTAATCTAGCACATTACATTATGCTATACATTTTAATTATCTATTTCATAACAATAAACTAAATTTTAATTCTACACACTTAATTTTGTTGATGATATTTGAATTCTAAATAGTAACCCACACCTTTTTCTAGATACAATTTAATATTTCTTAAAACCAAATTTCAATCTTACACATTCCATTTTGCAATACAATTTAGAGAAATTGTTAAAAATACCCCTTTTTCAATACCCCTTTTCAAAAATGCCCCCTTTGAGAGTCCATTTTTAAGTTTGCCCTCTTTTAATTTTTAATGACCATTTTACCCTTATTTGAAACAAAACTAGGTCCACAAAATACAAAATATTTTTTGGCTGGAAAAGTGATCCCGCAATTTTCCCGCCAAAACACTTGTAAAAACCTTTAAAAAACCTTGTAAAATTTTCCCGTAAAAATTTTTCCCGCCAAAAAATTTTCCCGCCAAAAAAATTTTTTTGCGGGAAAAGTGATTCCGCAATTTTTTTTGCGAAATTTTTTTGGCGGGAAAATTTTTGGCGGGAAAAATTTACAAGGTATTTTAAAGGTTTTTTACAAGGTATTTACAAGTGTTTTGTAAGGTTTTACAATGTATTTTAAAAGGTTTTACAAGGTACTTTTAAGGTTTTATAAGGTATTTATAACTTGTAAAACCTTATAAAAAACTTGTAAAACCTTATAACTTGTAAAAACCTTATAAAAAAGCTTGTAAAATCTTATAATATCTTATAAATATCTTGTAAATACGTTGTAAAACCTTTTAAAATACATTGTAAAACCTTATAAATACCTTGTAAAAAACCTTTAAAACACCTTGTAAATTTTTGGCGGGAAAAATTTTCCCGCCAAAAATTTAACGCCAAAAAAATTGCGGAATTACTTTTCCCGCAAAAAAATTTTTTTGGCGGGAAAACTTTTTGGCGGGAAAAAATTTTACAAGGTATTTTAAAGGTTTTACAAATTTTTACAAGTGTTTTGGCGGGAAAAATTGGGAGATCACTTTTCCCGCCAAAAAATATTTTGTATTTTGTGGACCTAATTTTGTTATATTTCCTTATATATTTATAATATCTTTTATTAAAAGAAGGGTAATTTAGTCATTTTGTACATAAAAGGGGTATTTTTAAAAATGGACATCCAAAAGGGGCATTTTTGAAAAGGGGTATTGAAAAAAGGGCATTTTTGTGAGTCTCCCTACAATTTAATTACATATTTCATCATAATAAACTGGATTTAAATTTTACACACTTCATTTAATGGATATGTGATAACAATTTTATATCAATATACTAAATATATATATCAAATATTTATCTTAGTTAATATTAGGGTTTTTAGTAATAAAACCCCTCAACTAAAGATGAATCGTAAAAAAACCCCTCAACTATATATTTAGTGCAAAAACCCCTCAACTTCAAATATGTTCATGAAAATTCCCCTTCGTCTCCATTATCGTAAAAATTGGACGGATTACAGTTAAATTGAAACTGAAAAACGACATATATACACTTAAACAACATGAATTGTAAACAAAAACAACAAAATCTTCTTCTATTTGATTATAAATCCTCAAACCTAAGCTCTAAAGATCTCAAAGTGAAAAATCTAAATTGATGAACCATAATTTATCATAGTAAGATTACTTAAATAGGCTATAAATCTCTATGAGCAACACGTCATGACAATGCCTTTAATAAATACTTGATGATAAAGTTATTTTGTAAAAATGTTTCTCAATTAATATATAAGATATATATAAAAATATATATATATATATATATATATATATATATATAGTAGAACCTCTATAAATTAATACTCGATAAATTAATAAATACTATAAATTAATAATTTCTTCCGGTCTCAAGTCGGGCCAATGTAAAAATTGGCGAAATTCGATAAGATAATAAAATAATATTTTTTTTGGAATTCCTATGTAAATATATGGTCCCTTTAATATCATAAATTAATAATCATATAAATTTACATATTATATATATATATATATATATATATATATATATATATATATAATATAGTTCTATTGTTTGTTTTAAATGAATTTCCGTTAGATATCATCACTAACTTTTCTTACATAAAAAATGTTATGTTGTGTTTTTAAACTCTTATTGTTGTATCGTCTATAATATTTTCTTAAAAATAGCTAAAAATTTTCGTAAGTTTTTTATTTATTTTGAATATGCATAATTTTATTTCAATAGTCGTATAGTCTGTTCAAACACAACAATTGCGGTTACTATTCATAAATTTGAATTTATATATTTCATTTGTAGATGTGAATTCATCTATAATCTTTGTTATCTATAGTTAAAAACATTTGTTATTCTTCTAAATATTAAATGTTCAAATCTAAAACTATTAATTTATAACATCCAAAGCATTATTTTTATTTAGATCAAATTTGTTTGATTTATATTTTTTTAAAAAAGTTTTAATGTTAAAACAAACTTTCTATAAATTAATAAATATTAACACACTATAATTTAATAAATATTAATTTATATAAATTCATATCACCATAAATTAATAAAATATCATGGTCCCAACATTATTAATTTATAGAGGTTTTATTGTATATGTAAGTTGTGTTTTTTTGTTTCCAACAAAGTCAGAAATAAAGGCAATTATGCTCAGAAATAAAGGCAATTACGCTAGTTTATATATTCTTTTTCTTCCCTTCTTTTAACATTCGTAATTAAAAAAGATGAGAAGCAAAGAAACCCTAATGGTGCAAAGAAAGCTGCCATCAGAGCTGGAAGAAGAAATACTCATCCGGGTTCCACCTTCATCTCTCGCTCGCTTCAGAGCCGTTTGCAAAGAATGGAACGTTCTTTTCAGCGATAAGAGATTCGCCAACAACCAGTTGGCTTGTGCTCGACCAGAATTCATGTTACAAACCGATTCCAATGTTTTCTCCATAAGCGTCAATCTTAATGACGATCCAACTCTACAAGTGCGTAAGTTAACCATTGATTTTCCCGGTTTTCACTATTGTAACTGCGATGGGTACTTCGTTTTATATGACTTACTTCATAATAGAGCCGCGGTTTCGAACCCGTGGTTGAGACAGACTAAACGTATTGGTTGTGCCTTGGATGAACCATTCACTTTATGTGGCATGGGTTACGATAGTAGTAGACCTGAAAAGAGTTACAAGATTTTTGGGTTTAAGTATTGTCGTTTGAATGAGCTTCAATCGACGTACTACCAAAGATTTGCCATATTCGAATTTGAAACCAACGCGTGGAAGTTTATTGACCATGCCAACAACCTAGAAAATTCAACTAGAGAACAATGGTGGTGTTATGGTAATGTGTCATTGAATGGAAATTTGTTTTCGACAGCTTATGATTTCGAAACTGGTCAGTATATCATCAGAATCTTCGATTTTTCCAAAGAGATAGTGAAGCCCTTTTGTATTCTACCGTGTGAGAAGAAAGATTCAAACCAAACTCATGCCCTTGCGGTTTACAAGGGAGATCGATTTTCGTTGTTAGAACAATGCTATAAAACGAGCAAGATTGAGATTTGGGTTACAAAGAAGAAAATTAGTAATGGGGATGATGGAGACAATGTGGTGTGGATTAAGTTCATGACTGTCTCAATACCTAACTTCCCCAGGTTTTATCACACGTTTTCGAGATACATGGTCGATAATAATATCTGTGGAAAGACCTTCGTCATGTGTTGTCCCGATGACAAAACTAGACGGGCTTGGGTCTATGTTGTGAGGGGAGATCTTTGCAAGAAGATTAAAATAGATCATTATTTGGTTGATGGGTCCTGCAGTTTGTGCTGTGTTTATGTTCCTAGTTTGATGCCCATTACTTAATATGAAGAGAACAAGAAGAATTTACAAGTTTAATCTTATTACGTTGTGGCTTTCTTATTCTTTTGTTTTTCTATCTCTTAAGTCCAAACTCATTATCAAACAAAACCAACTTCCTGTTTGTTGTCGTTATATTTGAGGAGGGAGATATGTGACTGAAAAACCTGAACCACTTTTTTGGAGTCTGTTTTCATGACACAAAGTGTACCTGCTTTCGGGAAAAGCCGGTCCACAGTTTCTGGAGGGATCCTAGAGAGTTCTGTAGGATACAAAGTGTAAATCCGTTTATGGAACTCTAACCGCATGAGCTGATCAAATATCATAGATTCATATGAAGAACGAAAGAGGAGTACTAAAACACACAATCAATTTTCATCTTAACCGCATGAAGAACACCTTATAAGGATCCGCTTATATTTTAATTTTTTCCCGAAATTAGGATCCGCTTATTCTAGTTATATATCCGATTATGACTTAATTAAGATCCGAATACATTTAATTCGGATTTTTTTATTACATAAATCGCAAAATCTAGACTAATATACACTTAATGAATCGAACATAAAGGTTAATATAATGACATTATATGAAATACTCTTTGAAAACCAAGGGTAAAACTTATATGCAGATTTTTATTTTGTCAACAACTTTATTGAATTATCTCAAATGAGCCAATTCTAAGGGATATTTTTAAAAAAAACTCTAAGTGACATTGTTTACATATGCCACATAATGCTGAGAGAGAGGGGTGAAGGGAGATAGAGATCCCCAAAGACTCAGATCCAATTAAAGAGCTTATAGAGAAGAAGAGAACACCAATAGGTCGTCCAGAAAACAAGGAAGATTCTTACGAGTGCAATGCCATGGATTGGTTCTGCTTACGGGCATATGTTCAGGGACAAGTGCGATCAACGGTTCAGGAGGAATGCTAGAGAATTCTGTAGGACAGAAAGTCTCTATCAATTTATGGAACACTTACATAAAAAGAGCTGATCAAGGACACATATTCATATCTGAATTGTAACATTATTTGATATCAGCTCTCTTAAATTTCCTTTACTCCATTCTGATTTCCCTGTTTCAATAATTGTGGACATGAAAATATAAGCTTTTTCCATTGACTAGATTGCATACCATCTTATTGTCTCCTTCAAAAGATGATATTACGATGACCTCGATTCCAAATGTGTTGAGACTCCACTGCTTCTGCTCGAGACTACCAAGAAAATCATTCCACAGCACATAATAGCATTTAATGAAAAATAAATTAAATTTATTAAAAGCATATGGAGTTTATAAAACCACCGAATTTAAAATAATTATTGGAAAATTTTCACATTTTATTATGGTTCAGTCTTTATGTTTTTGAAATATTTTTCTATATTAGTTGTTAGTTATTTTTTTTGTTTAATATAATTTTAATGCTGTTTAGTTTATCGAACCCGTGGTTGAGACAGACTAAACGTATTGATGCCGTGGTTCAAGAATTCTTTTTATGTGGTACGGGTTACAATAGTAGTAGACCAGAGAAGAGTTATAAGATTGTTGGGTTTACGTCTTATTTTAATGAGCTTCGAACGGACTACCTAAAATTTGCCATGTTCGAATTTGCAACCAATGCGTGGAAGATTATTGATCATGCCAGCTACGTAGCAAAGTCCACTAGAGAACAGTCGTTGCGTTATAATAATGTGTCCTTGAATGGAAATTTGTATTGGCCAGCTTACAATCTCGAAACTTGTCAGTATTTCATCCAAATCCTCGATTTTTCGGAAGAGATAATGAAGCCCTTTTGTATTCAACCGTGTGAGAAGAAAGATTCTTCCTATACTCGTGTTCTCGCAGTTTACAAGGGAGAACGATTTTCTTTGTTAGAACAATGCAAAACAACATGCAAGATTGAGGTTTGGGTGACAAAGAAGAAAATTACTAATGGGGATGATGGAGAAGATGTGGTGTGGATTAAGTTCATGAATGTCTCAATACATAACTTCCCCAGGTTTTATCACAAGTTTTCAAGGTACATGGTCGATAATAATATATATGGAAAGACCCTCGTCATGTGTTGTAGCTACAGGAAAAATGATCAAGCTTACGTCTATATTGTGAGGGGAGATATGTGCAAAAGGATTAAAATAGATGAAGTGCCTTCTCAGTTCAGATGGTCTATTCATGTCCCAAGCCTGATCGTCTTTCGATGAAGTGAACAAGAAGAGTGCTATTTTGGGTTTTTTTTTTTTTTTTTTTTTTTTACTAGAAATCTTTATGTCTCAATTCATTATCATACAGATCAAACAAATCCAACTTCATGAGTGTTCTTGTTGTACTTTGGTAGTTTGTTTTGTTATAGATTCACACTATTTTTGAGTCAGTTTCCTAAAGGTTAAGATAGATTCACAATTCGTTGACCTTATTCGAGTAATAGAGGTTTGGTTAAAATCTAGTTTGTAAACATGGGAAAATTTAACAAAGCTTAACCAAAAAATTATTTTAAGTTTCACAAATTTTCGATAAATTGTGTTATGGTTGGAGTCTAGCAAATGTAAGTATGTTCCTCTATATCATTATCTAGCAAAGTAGTGTTGTATTGTACGCATTCCCACTTCGACACAACAAAGGATGCGCAAGCACCTTAATACAAAGTCGTTGCTTCTTTTTTCGAGTGATTTCCGTTTACAGAGAGAGAGAGCTCTACTGGTTTTTCCCAAAGACTTGAGATCTAGAGAGCTTAGAGAAAAGAAGAGAACACCCGATATGTCGTACAGAAAGCACAAAGAGACTTACGAGTGTAATGCCATGAAGTGGTTCTGCTTACGGGCATGTTCTGGGACAAGCCGGTCCACGGTTTCAGGAGGGATACCAGAGAGCTCTGTAGGACACAAGCTTATCAAAATAACACATACTACTTTTCTTCCTTATAAAGAATTTCAACACGAAAAAAATAAGAAGCAAATAACGGAACCTTACCTTGCGGTTTAAAATTGAAAAGTGGAGGAAGTGGCCGGCCGTTTGGAAGACGAGCGTTTGGGTCTCTTAACTCATCAAAGAACGGATGGATACAAGCTTCCACCTATCAGAAAACCATAAAACATACTTGTAATGGGTTAGCTTCTGATGCTGATTCCAAACAAAATATGGAAGTAAAATAGGTAAGAAAGTCAGAGGAACTACGAATAGCGTACCGCTGTGCATCTCAAATTAGGAGAATACTGGAAGAACCTACAAAGAAGATCTACTGCTTCAGGTGGCAAACGTTTTTGGAAAACCTGAAGATAACAAACACATGATTCCTAAACATGACCAGAGAGAAGTCAAACGAAGGAAATGATCACTTAAGCGAAATTTTAGCACGGAGCAAAAAAAAAAGAATAATCTAGCGCGAGTAACAGAGTTCTGGAATGTCAGCTGTATAAAATGCTGAATAAAACTTCTTCTAGATTGAAACTTAAACCAGCAAAAAAGTCAAGATCATGAAGCCTAATTGTTTTCAACCCTCATGAGTGTGTGCACAAGTAATCCGTTTTGGCAAAGTTTCGATTTATTTGTTTGCATAAGAATCTTATATACAAAGCTGTCACATCGCTCTGTAAGCCAGAGGAATGAAATATGAAGTTAATTGATCACATAGACTCCAATCACCCTCACTAAACAGAGACAAGATCGGACAGATATTTACACCGAGAATCAAATTGATAAAGAGAACCTATTAGGTGATAATTGATACTACTAGCGGCATACCTTGTGCCAAGGATGAGGTTTTATCTGGGGAAATTTAAATTCTGTGTAGTTTGGATTCATGCATTTGATCTCCTCCCTTGTTGGTGTACCCAAAACCTGCATGACAATTTAAAGCCCATGCAGAAAGAATAGAAGAGGTCCTATTAAAAAAATGGTGGTACATTTTTATGAAAAAATAATAATAAGCAATAAGCAGCTCTAACAGATGTCATTTTCTTTGCAGATAAAACTACCCCTAAAAGAATTGATAGAAATAATACTACCTTAATGATTTCAACAAGTTGGTCGACTCCACTTTCGCCAGGAAACAGAGGCTGTATAACAAGTCCACGAGAGCACAAACGACTAAGAGAGTGAAGTAATAGAATAACAGGCACAAAAGCATATAGCTAATGCAAATATAGTGCGCCAACCTGTCCAAGCAGCAGTTCAGCCATCACACAACCTGTGGACCATATGTCTATTGCAGTTGTGTACTCAGTGGCTCCAAAAATGAGCTCTGGGGCACGGTAGTATCTTGAACAAATGTAAGAAATATTGGGTTCTCCTTTCACCTGTGGAGCATGACAGTCATAATCCAAGCATGGACTAGGAAAACTAAACCACTAAGAGCTATAGCTGATAAACTTTACCAACACTTTTGCACTCCCAAAATCACAAATTTTTAGCTGATGTGTGTGTGGATTCACCTGCACATCACAATAGGTGTAAAGAAAAATATAAGTTTGTTTAATTAAAACAAGGCGACATTTGTTTATGACAAATTCTAATCAATTGCAGGTACGGTGAGCCTAACAGCTGAAACATTATGAAACAAGTTCAATCTTTGTGAAATCACAAGAATAGGATTCTAAATATATAAACCAACAAACAGACCAGCTAAAAACCAAAACTATTTCCCAAAAGCTAGATTTTAACATCATACTTGAACTAATATCATCTCCAGTGAAATTAACTACAGAAGCCCAGTACAGCTCTGAGGATTGAAAATAAACATTAGTGAGATGCATACTCAATCCCGTTGCTTAAACCCTCCAGGCATGTAATAACGACATATCATCACGTCAGTCTCCAACCTAACCTACTTTATAATGATCAAATTTTTAGAAGTAAAGAACAGTGTGTGATATTTATGTACACAAGTGCCTTTTAAATCCTTATGTGTGGTGACAAAGACCTTGCTATATAAAAGAAATCAAACAAAAGTAGCTTACAGGAAAGTGAAATCTAGCTTCTTTTCAGTGAGAAAAAATTGGAACTTACTAGCAAGTTTTGGGGCTTAATATCCCGGTGACAAAGACCACAGCAATTATGAAGGTAAGCAAGCCCCCTGCAAATCTGTACCCATTAACATAAAATCCTTAAAAATCATCAATGTCCAAAAAATTATCAGGCCCGACTCACACTTAAGTGTTCAACAAAAGTTTGAGCACTACTTCCTTTTCATAGAGACAATCAATTCTATTAAATAGTTCCAACTTCTAACAAAAAGTAGAATAGTAACAGAAACAATAGAAACTTTGCCTTCCAGTTTACAATCTATCTATCAAGACAATAGGAAATCTCCAACCCATCAATTCTGGAATGAGCCACAAGAAAGTAGTTGACACATATCATTAAAGAAACTGAATATATCTTAAGTTTTGAGTAAGTACTTATGACGCTTACATAAAGAGAAACAAAAAAGATCAAAAACAGGAAATAATCACCTGATAAGCGTAGAGTTTGACATATATTAATGGCATCAGCTGGTTCATTCTACTGTAGCTTCTGGCAGTACGATTGACAGTCTCGGGAACAAATTCAAGGACAAGATTTAGATAAACCTCTTCATTTTCTGTTCTTGAATAGAAGCTATGCTTTAAACAAACAACATTCGGATGGTCTAGCATCTGCATAATTTGTAATTCTCTGTTCTTGTAGCGCTTGTCTTGTAGAACCTTTTTGATGGCAACAACCTCCCCAGTTTCTCTGCATTTAGCCTACCACAAGGAAACATAAAATGTTTGGGAATCTTAACCAATAGCAAGACAAAAAGAAAGATAATCGAACTTACTTGGAAAACCATTCCAAAGGAACCTGTTCCAACTACGTGTTCTGCTATGTAACTGACTGTCTGTCAATCAAAATCAAACAGTTGTATAAGAATCAGTACGTCTCACCAACATTATAGACACACTTTTTCGATGACCATCTAACCTGTCTTGATTGACCATTTCGTCCACGGAGGGTAGTTCTGATCACATGACCAGGTTCTGCACCAACCCCATCTATGATATCTGGTTCACTGTCCTGCAACATAGCAAAAACATCAAATACAAGTAAACTAATTCATCAAATAAGCTAGAACAGTTCAAGGAGAAATAAACTCCTAAAGAAGAGACGCAAAACTTACTCTGTCCTCATCAGCCTCTGTCTTGTCCCTTATCTTCATCTCAAGCATATCTCTGCTCAACCAATCAACTGAACTAGAAGTGTTTTTTATATTTTTGGCAGATCTCGAACTGCCCACTCCATTTCCCAGATGAGATTCCATCGTGGTTGTTCTGAAGATAACACGTACTAGTAATTGATAACACCACAATCCTTAGCAATTAGGTGTCCCATCCCATCAAACCACCAGTCTTCCTAGTGGAATATTAACGTCGTTTTCATAAAGCAAAAAAGGTATAAGTAATTACCAGAGTATTTACCCACAGAATTTAGATCGTTGGAAAATGATAACATAAAACCAAAGTCACTGGTTTTTCCAAATATTTGCCATGAAAGAAAAGTATTCAAAACAAAATATCTGAACACTTAAGCAGCATAACGAGAAAGGAGAAACATGTTAACTCACACTCTCTTATCGCCTATCGCTCATAGTACCTATATATTCATAGAACCACCGAGCACATTCTTATAGCTTGTAGAAGATAGCAATAAGTGAGTGCTCTGATCTCTTGTTGCTTATGTTCCTTGGATCAATCACTACAAACATTTCAGCCAACAAAAAGAAGACACTAATTAGCAGAAGATATGAACCATTTCTACATGTGAGAGCAATGAAATTAACAAGACAAATAAGTGAAAGAAAAACAAAGGAATCAAATCAACAAAACAAACACCTAATAATTTTCCATGCTTACAATAATTTCTTCTGAAGTTAATTATGATCACAAAGAAAAACGAAAAGTCAACAATTTCAGACTTAAGCACCATTGAAACATTGAAAGAGAGTAGGTGATAACACTGATACTACTACACAAGACTAGAATTAAAAACCCAGAAGAATTATAACAGATCAGATCTAAATTCAACTAAAAACCCGACAAGGCTTGTCTTTTACTCAGTTTCTAGAGTCACCAAAAAAAAAAAAAAAAAAAATCCAGAAAATTTAGTAAAGCAGTTGTTACAACAAGAACCCTAAATTCCTCCAGAATTAGACCAAAATTGCGCAATCAAAAGCAATTCGAAGAAGTATAGTGAAGATGATCTTATCTATTTACCTTGAACGGAAAATTAAACATCACACATTCGATGATCGTCAATGTCTTCGTCGTCGTCGTCTTTTTTGATAATCAAAGCCAAAATTGAGATCAACTTCTTTTTCCTGATGATTGATCACTAATGGAGAAAAACTGATCACTAGATTCTTACTTGTAATAGATTTTCTCTGTCGTTTCTTTTGTAGATTTCTTACCGTTTTAAATCAGGAAAGTTTTTTTTTAGAGATTTTATAAAAGGAATTAAAATTATAAAATTTTAATTTTATTATTTGTCATATTTCAGTGGTGTTCGGTTTATGATTCGGTTTTCTTTAGGTTGCTTTGGTTTTGGTTTTGGTTTTGGTTTTGGTTAGGTATGGTTTGTTTAGTAATTAGTTCTATAAATATTTCTATATGTTTTGAATTGATACTATATAAATCAAATTATCAAAATAAATTTTTGATTTATTTCAGTTTGGTTACATAAAAACGGTTTCGGTTTTTCAGATTTTAGAATAACGAAACCAAATAATAATTTTATATCGATTTGGTTTTGATTTAACTATTTCGGTTTAGTTCGGTTCGGATTTTCGGTTGTTTTTTTCTACCTTTAATTAAGGGAATTAAAACGATTCCGTAGCATCTGCAAAACATGGCGCTCCTCCGTCTCCACCACCGACACTCCTCTCTCAATCAACCCACTCATCAAACTTAAACCCCTCGTTATCTCTGTCTACACCAACGGAGGACTCCAACAGATCAACGATCTCAACCTCTACGCGTTCCTCTCACGCGCCTCCTTCTTCCGCGTCACTCTCTCCTCCTCCTCTACTCAAGGATGGCTTATAAAATCCGACGTGGACATCAACTCGGCACAATCCATCTTCTTCACCCTCTCTCACGCCTCCCTTTGGTTCATTGGTGTCAAAGTTTTGATCTTTTTAAATTCACTCTCACTGAGATTCGACAAGGGTTTCTTGTTCATTACTCTCGTAGTAACAAAGGAGCTTTTGGGTTTAAGAAATTGGTTCTTGCAGGAAGAGATCGAGTTTTTGGAATTGGGTTTGATGGAAAGGTTAGGTATTGGAATGGAGAAATTTGGACTAGAATCAAAGATCAGATTGGTGAATTCGTTGATATTATGGTTCTTAAAGGGCTAATTTACGCGTTGGATTCGCAAGGGATTGTTTGGTGGATTAGTTCTTACTCTCTTAGTATCTTTAGGTATGGAACTTCACTTACTAATGAATGTGGTAGAGACTTAAGCTTGGTGGAATGTTGTGGAGAACTTTACATTGTTGATCGTCTTCTTGAAGATAATGTTTTGAAAAGAAAAGCTGATTCCTTGGATGATGATAATGCGTATGTTGGTGTCATTCCTCGGATTACTAAAGTGATACATGACGATGTTGGGAATGAAAAATGCAAAGTGGTGGAAAGAGAATGTCCCAAAACGGTTGGGTTCAAGGTTTATAAGGTGGATGAGGAGTTGGGGAAATGGGTGGAAGTTAAGTCTTTGGGAGATAGTGCGGTTGTGATGGCTACCGATACTTTTTTCTCGGTTTTGGCTCGTGAGTACTATGGATGTGTACCAAATTCTATATACTTTATCGACGAAAAGGAAGTAGAGGTTAAGGTGTTCAGGCTTGACGATGGTAGTATTGCGTCAATGTTTGGTTTTGAACGGAGTTGTTTCCAATTATTTGTTCCCAGTTTTCTCTGAATCTTGTTTAGGTCAAAGCTACTTTCTTTATATTAAGAGTGCAAATCATCTGATTAGGAAATCTTCCCTTTCATCTCCATTTCGGGTATTGGACAAAAGATACAACTGAAATATCTTCATTTTCAGAAGTCAGGATGAAACAGTGAGATGTTTTAGCACTGCTTCAGAAGAATGACAAGCAAAGTACTTCTGCCTTAGCTCCACACAAGGATATCCGAGGAGCGACAAGAAATGAGCTGACATTATCTCTATCTGATACCATACTTCACCATTTTTATCAAGCTCTATCGAAAACAGTTTTTCTCCAGCTAGTAAAATGAAGAGTGTCACTTCCGAAATGAATTATGTAGGGACTTTTGGTATATTTCTTGCTTTCATCGACATAAACCACTTGCAGAGGAATCATCACCCATGGAAGAACTAAAGATCGAAAAAAGAGATACAAAACAAATAAGGATATGAAAGGCTACTCTCTTCTCATCAGCATCTGTCTTGTGTCCCTTATCCTAATCTCAAGCAAAACCTCAAGATCTAGTGCAAGAGGATATCAGCGGTAACCCGAGAGAAACGGCTTCTCCAACAACATCTTTGAAGAAATCTTTGATATGTTATATTTTAGTTTGGGGAGAGAGATTGGTAACAAAGATAAATTCCTAAACAAAATCGGGAGGTGTCTAATCTTCTTCTATAGTAAGGCTTTCTCGTCGAAGGTACTCTTTGTACCAAACCTTGTGATCTATGCAAAACTTGGGTCGTGTAGAATATGGAGCGTTTTGATCCACCTTAAGAAACATGTTATAATCATGGAAATATTCACCATTCTTCTTTTCCAACGCCTTCTTTGCTTCGTTAGCAGAAGCAAACTCAACAAGGCCACATCACTTCTGAGTACACTTGCGGGTTAGTCGTCTTGAAGACAAATTTCTCGTCATAGAACTTCTAAGTACAAGGCCATAACGTTTTGTAAGTGTTTATCATGCTCGTCTTGATGAAAAATTTCTACCAATTCCATTGGGTGACGACTTTAAAGCCTTTGACACAAGATGAAGTAGACCGATGCTCTTAATTAAAAAAAAAAAAAAGTATTATGTTTAGAATAATCATTATCAAAAATCTTAAACAAATAAAATAGAAAAAGTTATTTTTTGATAATATAACTTAAATTTGTAATTTATTCTAAAAAAGTAATTTAAAATTTTATAACTTATATTCGTGATTAACATAAAATAAATAAAAATAATAATTCATATTTTCTGGTTAAGTTGTTTATTTTTGGTAAACTTATTTCATTTAGAGTTGACCATTTATCTGGTCTTTAAAGGAGGCTTGGGTTTCAGGGATATATGTCGTTTTAATCAAGCTCTTCTTGCAAAACAAGCTTGGCGTCTTCTTGATGACCCGCAGTCTCTTATTGCCAGAGTGTACAAGGCTAAATACTTTGCAAATAAATGCTTCCTAGATGCGAAAATAGGGTATAGACCCTCTTATGCTTGGCGTAGCATCTTATTTGGCCGAGAACTTCTAGAAAGAGGTCTCATGAAGACAATAGGGGATGGCCAACATACCAATGTCTGGGTGGATAAATGGATTTTAGACACATTCCCAAGGAGACCGATTAACAAGGAACTAATGATGGATCTAAACCTTATGGTGTCATCTCTAATAACTTCACAGGGTGAATGGAATGTTCAAAGGCTCACTGAACTCTTTCCTCCCTATGATGTTACTCACATTAGATCCTTTCCTCCTGAGATTAGTGTAGCAGACAAAAGTGTTTGGGCCTACACAAAAGATGGAAAGTATTCTGTGAAGAGTGCTAACTGGGTTCTCACGAGGGAAGCTGAATTAATGGAGGTCATCCCTGCAGATATTCAAGCAGCTAACGCGACTAAAGAAAGAGTATGGAAGGTTTCTACAGCTCCAAAGATCAGACTCTTTTTATGGCGAGTATTATCGGGTGCCCTTGCTATTGCTGATTGCTTGAGAAGTCATGGTCTTAATATTAACCCGATGTGTCAGCTCTGTAATGGTACAAATGAAACGATCTCTCATGTTTGTTTGATTGTCAATTGGCTCAAAATGTCTGGACTATCATGGGCTTGCCTTTGTGGTCTCATGGATCGTCTATCTCCATTACTGATCAGATTGATCACCTTTTGAATTTAATGGAGAAGCAAGATTTAGACAAGGAGCTACGAGAGGCTATTCCCTGGTTGTTGTGGGAGATTTGGAAGGCGAGAAATTCTACTCTGTATGCGGCAAAGACTAACTCTCCACACTTTGTTGTTGCTACAGCGTTGGAAGAGGCAAAGGAATGGCTACAGCAAAATATTTTATCTCAACAAGGACATGTTCAAAGAAACCAGAGACAATTGATAGGTGAGAAGCTATGGACTAAACCTGCGTTTGGGAAAGTTAAATGTAACATTCATACTTCTTGGATCAAGGATTCATGTCATGTTGGCGGAGCTTGGATCGTACGGAATCACGTGGGGATGCAATCTTTCATGCGAGGGATGCTTTCATCGCCATGTTTAATCGTTTAGCTGCGGAACTTCATGGTATTCTTTGGTGTCTCCGCAGTCTAAAAGACATCCGTATTGAGTCATGTGAACTGTGGTCAGATTGTGGTGCGGCTATTGATGCTTTACGCAGACCGGAGGAGTATCCTAAGTACCGTTCTCAGATTATCAAGATTCAACAAGTAATACGGGTGATGCGGGAGGTTAGTTTTTACCTCTCTTCACCAAAAGCCAACTCTTTGGCTAAGGAGATTGTTTGTAGTGTTACTCGAGAAGGACGGTTTACATCTTATTTAGCACGAGGTGGTCCGGCTTGGCTACATAATCGGATTGAGGACGATCGGCGAGGTAGACGATGATTGGGTTCGATTTACTCTTACTCTGTTTATATTATTTCAGTTCCTCTGATTTTGTGTTACTCTGTTTTTGGCAAACTCTCTACTTGGTTTAATATTAAGACGGCAAAAAAAAAAAAAAATGGCCTGAAACCGCGACTCGGTCAAATAAACATGATCATTTTTATTTAGGAACATGATCATTCGCTTGATACACCACTAGACCGCGACTACGTCAGTTGCTCGAAAGAAGCACCTGAGCTGTCTCATTTTATCCTTTGATCCAAAGTTGTAAACTGTAGTCGAAATCTTTTGCTTTGAGTTCCTCTGTTTTAGGTGTTAGCTATGGCATAGGTAAACCAAACTCTGTACATATTTTTCTACTTTATTCAATCAATTAAACATTCATATGAAAAAAAAAATCACCAAACAGAGTTTTTAATTTGCCATAACAATGGTTTTCTCGTAACACATAGTAAGAAGATGTTGACCAAACTACCAAAGCGTTCGTTGACTTTGAGTTGCTTGGGGAAGAAGCTTACGGTGCAGTCTATATAGGAAAGCTACAAGCTTGGTTCAACTCAAAGACGTCTTGAAAGTTTTATATCATCAAGTCCACTTGAGTAATATATAGGGACGACTCATTAACAAAGTATTGTAATATAAAAATGCAAAAACGAAAAAAAATATCAGACTAAAACAGTTTAACAAAGAAATAAATTACACGATATGATCAAGATCTATACAACATATTTTGGGCATTGACTTACAAGAATCATAAAAACAAGAACAGATTAAGAAACACAAACATATATTTGACATGAGAGACTAAACTTCAACATTGTTCACTTTAATTAAGTTCGGACATCTTCTTCTTGTTTCTCTTGTGTAGAGTGTAGAAGTAAGATCCCAAAGCCAAAGTTGTTCCTAATAAAGCACCAATTCTAGTCCAACTAAACACATCATCCATAAAATCAAATGCCAAGACAACAAACAAAGCCACAAGTGGTGAAGCGCACATATGAACAATATCACCAAAAAGACCCGAAACATAAAGCACCAAACCTATAAGCCCGACCGCCCAAACCTGCCACGACAAAGCCAACCCGACCAAACTCAGAACGTAATACGCTTCCCCTTTCTTAAACCTTTTGCTATCACCTTTCAGTTCCTTATACTCACCACTTGCAAACAAACCCACAAGACAAATAATCGAGGCGACAAAAGAGACACATATTTGCATCTCTAAGACCATTCTAAACACTTTCTTGTTACCATATCTCTTTGTCTTCACCAGGAGTTTCTCGAACCCGAGTTGGATTAAGCAGAGAGATAATGAGAAAGCAATCGTAGCAGAGAAAGCTAACCAAGCTTGGATGTTGTATCCATATTCTTCTCCCTCATGAGGCTGTCCTCCAAAGTCAGGTATACTGAGAACGTAAATCACAATAGTGAGTAATATCGATATGATGATCCATCTAGTAAACTTGAAGCGGTTAATGATAGCTGTTAAAATAGCGGTAAATATCAATTGGGTTGCGGAAATCAACATGAAGATGCCATAGTTTGAGACTAATTTGCCGAGTGCAAACAATTTGCTGTGAGCAGCAACAAGAACACCAAGAGATAAGTAAAGGAAGAAGAGACGCAAGGAGAGGAATCTAGTATTGTTGGTTTCAAGGTTTTGTTTTGGTTTAGGGAAAATGAAGAAGAGAGGAATGAGGATAGGAAACGCAGCGTTTTGGATCAGAGCTTGCGTCCATGTTCCTTTGTATTGCAGATCTTGGTCATAAATTTCATGAAAGTCTTGCTCCATTTGGACATAGAAGAAGTTCAAGAGAAGCATGACGAGAGAATCACCGAGCAAGACTAAGAAAATACATAAAGAAACAGAGATCCACCATTTTCTTTGTTTTAGCTTCAATGATCTTCTTGGACTCAAGCTTTGGTACGGTTCTGGATTCTGAATATGTCTTGCTGTCTGTTTGGAAGCTTTGGACATCTCCATTAGTTTTCTCTGGTACCTCTTGCAATTATGCAGATCTTTAAATATGAAGATTTCATTCCGTGTGGAATGACTAGTTCCATCTTGCAATTAGAAAACATCTTTCCACTAATACCGTACGAAAACCTTTTGACAGATCAGAGTTGGTACTTTCAAAACCAGAAACTGAGAAAAGGTAGTACTTGTATATATTATACAATTTGTTCAAAAAAAAAAAAAAAGTATATATTATACAAAAGGTTAATTTAAACGTAGGATTTAATACTTTGACAAAACCAAAACGTAGGATTTAATATCTCTGTTATTTATTTTGTAAATATCATTTAATTTTAATTTGAAAATAGTTTTAGTTTCTCATAAATTTACATAACTTTTTTTTTTTTTTTTTTTTTTTGATGACTAGGAGGTTCTGAACCCGTAAGCCCGTACATCCCCAGGACGAGGTCCAAACCATGTAATATAACTCTCCTTTGGAGAGCAGACCCCTCATAACATGAATCGAACCCGTGACCTCCAAGGTCACTATATTATCGGTAACCAAGAGGCTTAACCACTAGGCCAACTCATCGTTGGTCATAACTTTACAATCACGCATGCAAATAATTAGATTTAGATATAAATTAACTTTTGTGTATACCAAATATATATATTAGAAAAAACTTTTGTCTGTACTCTTAATCAAATTTTCTGGATGTAGAACATTTCAAAGTTCTGTTTTTTTTTTTTGTTTTCCAAAATTTAATTAATAATACAAATAGTAAATTAAGAATCAATACTTTTTTTTATATAACGTAGTTGACGAAAAGGCACCCTACATAAACTATTAACACTTGTGAGGAAATAAATTTCATTGAGGAAAAAGGAAACTATACTAGCATTGCCATTACAAATTCATTTTGAGAAAAGTAATTACATAACGGGTTCGAATGGTTGCAGCAGTTAGGACGGACAAATCCGTTTGCGGCTTGGACAGCTTTTTGTTTACAATTCATAAACTATAATCTGTAATAGTATTAAAAAAAAATAGAACAAGTCTGCGGCGGACTAACTACATACCACTTTTACGTAGAGATAAACTTGGTCCGCGGTGGTTTGTTGTCTGCTCCAAAAATAGAAAGGTTATACTAGTTTGTTAACGGTATAGTTCGCTTTTTCCACATCATCCATTCAAAGTCAACTTGTGTTATAACTACATGTTATAACTTGTGGAAAGTAATTACATAAATTTATGTATTATAAAATCAAACAAAGATGATAAGAAAATCATAATTTTAAATCTTAACAAAATCTACTAAATATCTATATTATTAATTGTGAAACATTGAATGGATTATTCTAATTTTATGGTTAATGTTAAAATCTTTTAATTGTGTTTGGTTATATTTAGAGAAATTGTTAAAAATGCCCTTTTTTGAATACCTCTTTTCAAAAATGTCCCATTTGAGAGTCCATTTTTAAGTTTGCCCTCTTTTAATTTTTAATGACCATTTTACCCTTATTTGAAACAAAATTAGGTCCACAAAATACAAAATATTTTTTGGCGGGAAAAGTGATCCCGCAATTTTCCCGCCAAAACACTTGTAAAAACTTGTAAAACCTTTAAAATAACTTGTAAAATTTTCTCGCCAAAAATTTTTTTTTGCGGGAAAAGTGATTCCGCAATTTTTTTGGCGGGAAAAATTTGCAAGGTATTTTAAAGGTTTTACAGAGTATTTACAAGTATTTTGTAAGGTTTTACAATGTATTTTAAAAGGTTTTACAAGGTACTTATAAGGTTTTATAAGGTATTTATAACTTGTAAAACCTTATAAAAAACTTGTAAAACCTTATAACTTGTAAAACCTTATAAAATAGCTTGTAAAATCTTATACTCCCTCCGTTTTTGAATAGTTGTCGTTTTAACTATATACACACAAATTAAGAAACTATTAATGTTGTTAGTTTTTCAATATAAAAATATCATTAATTATCTACTTAAATATAATTTAACCAATAGTAAATCAAGTTGCATAATAAAAATAAATATAAAAAATAAAAAAGTAATAAATTTTGCATCGAAAACTGAAAACGACAACTAATTAAAAACAAAAAAATTTCTCTAAAACGACAACTATTCGAAAACGGAGGGAGTAATATCTTATAAATACCTTATAAATACGTTGTAAAACCTTTTAAAATACATTGTAAAATCTTATAAATACCCTGTAAAAAACCTTTAAAATACCTTGTAAATTTTTCTCGATAAAAATTTTCCCGCCAAAAAAATTGCGGAATCACTTTTTCCGCAAAAAAATTTTTTGGCGGGAAAATTTTACAAGGTATTTTAAAGGTTTTACAAGTTAATACAAAATCAAATTTGTAATTTTGATGTGTGCACATTCTCATGTTTTCCTTATATATTTGTGATATCTTTTATTAAAAGAAGGGTAATTTAGTTATTTTGTACATAAAAGGGGTATTTTTAAAAATGGACAGCCAAATGAGGCATTTTTGAAAAAGGTATTGAAAAAGAGGCATTTTTGTGAGTCTCCCTTATATTTATGGATAATAGATTATTAATTGTAGTAGTTGTTTGGATACATCAATATAAACATTTCTCTATTCAATATTATTAATTGTAGTTGCCTAATTTTTTTTCTTTGAATACATGGCAGTTTTTTGTAATCTCTACTATTAATTGAGAAGTTTATGACAAAATCTATATATACATTTTTGGAGTACATTTAGCAATTAAATCCTAAAGTTGAGAAGTGTTTACAATGGAATGACATTAGCATTAATTGTTCAGAAATTAGTTAATACTACAATTTTTTAAAATATAATCTTATAGAAAACTGTGTTTTCCAAAATCTGTAAATAATCAATATTGCTTCTACATCAATTTGGGCCTTAAAATATAATAAATGAAAGATTCCTAATTATTAGCATTTCCTTACCCAACAACTCAATTTTGTAAAGAGTTTTAGAAATAGTGAATAATATTTATTGGTATTAAACTCTTATTTCCTACATTTCTTAG